AAACAAATGGCTGCTGGCCTTTTATGGATTTGCCAACTAAGAAGTGCTTTTCAGAGCCTGACGGTGGTGGCGCACGCCTTTTAATCCCAGCACTCAGGAGGCAGAGGCAGATGGATCTCTGTGAGTTCAAGGCCAGTTCCAGGACAGTCTCGATAGCTACAGCGAAATCCTGCTTGAAAAGTGCCCTTTAGGCTGAAAATCCATTAATTAATATGTAATCCTAAATTACTACATAATTTTGGTTCATTTTTGGTACATTTTGGCACATGTATTTGTGGGTGTGTGCTGCATCATTTTGGGATGTAGCTTATAATCAACAACATGTTAGTGGTTTTCTATTTTTTTACTTCTCTGGCAACTTCTGCATTCCCATTTTCTCTAATTCTCTTTATCTGGACCCTCTGGTCTGGTTTGAGAAGTGGTCTCTGGTAGCAAAACTTGTTCCTGTTACCCGCAGGGGCTCCCTCTGCCTCTGCACATACTTGCTAACGAACTGGAAGAATGCTTCCCTCTGTGTGAAAGTTGGACGGGGCTCTGTGGAGCTTCATTGCTGCTGTTCACCGGGATGCCGTGTGGAAATGTTCTTGTGGCATTTTACTGGGAGGTATGAAAAACAGAGTCTTACGACATTTCAAACAGGACTGGCATTTAGTCCACAATATTGCCCTGCAGAGTCTAGGAAGATTTGCATACCACAGAATTCTTTCATTTAAAGCTCCATTTATGCTTCCAGAAATGCCTCTTTAATACAACAAACATAATACTTACAATGCTCATAAAAGAAGTTCAGGTATTATGAACATTTTTTATGGACTGAAGTGCTCCCCTCCCATAGTGGGGGTAGGATGGGGCTAGGGCATGCCTCACAGTCCTTCTCCTCCAAGTACATCACAGGCTCTCAAGAGTCCTGCTTTTTTTTTTTAATTAAAATTTGCATTTCAGTATGGTGACTTAATTTGCTTTTACAGTACTGATTTTTTATTTCCCTGTCTTCTCAAGTCCCTTAAATCAACCAACACCCCCCACACACACACACTTAATTTTTCCATCCTCTTTTCCTCTTCTGCCCTAATTTCTTAATATTTCTGAAAGAAAGTGACAGCAATGGAAAACTGTAGCTGTTTCGGATGTTAAATCATCTGTTGATATTTTGATATTCCAATTTCTTACTTCTACTAGTTAGTTAGACCACAGTTTTTAGCACATATATTTGTGGGTGTGTGCTGCAGCAAAACTAGGGAGGTCAAAGGACAATTTGCAGACGTTGGTTCTCTCCTTCCAGGATTGAACTTAAGTTGTCAGGCTAGACCGACAACACTGATCGTTACTAAGTCTTTTATTGCTTAGTTATTTTGTTGTTTTGTTCCTTGACACAGTCTCGGTGTGTAGCTCAAGCTGATCTGGAACTCACTATGTAGCTCAGGCTAACCTTGAAATTGTGTCAGGCTAGGATCGTGGTTGTGAGCTGCCACACCCAGCAGTTGGCCGCTCTTTATTGTAGCAACTAGGATAAAGTTCTTTGTATCTACATAAAAACAGAGCTGAATTTTGTTATTTAAAACATGATCAACAAAGAAAAATGCCTTTTAAAAATTTCACCTCTTTATTTCTGAACCTCTTTGTTTTGGAGTAGTTGTTAATTGCTTGTAGTTGTAAAGAATGGGTCAGAGAAATTCCGTGGACCTCACCTTCTTTTCGGGAGAATAAAGTCCTCAAAACTGTGACACAGCCAGGATGTCAACGCTGACAGCATATAACGTGGATCTGTTCCGTTCCCACAGACATCCCTGGTTACAGCTGTTCAAACTAGACTGTGCTCCATTCTAGAACTCGGCTGTTTCAAAGTCCTCGTATGGATGGAGCTCTCTAGTGTGGAACCTTCTCCTTCTGGTTTTTCATAATGGACAAATTCCTCAAGACCCATCCAAGTTACTAAACTAAATCTATATATTACTCTGGCTGCTGAATGACCACAGTTTGTTTAACCGTTTGACTGCTGCGGAGTTTCTGGGCTGTTTCAGGCTCGGCTACTACAAGTAATGCCTGAGCAACATGGCTGGGTAACGCATGCACTTCTTCCTCCATCCTGAACGCCTAGAGTGCCTGATGGGCTAGCTAGTTATGTGTTTCTTAGAAAGATGCTGGAATGTTTTACGTTTCCTTTCTAAACCTTCATATTTATTTCTAAAGTCTGTGAGCACAGGCACACCCGCAACAGCTCACTCCTGTGGAGGTCAGGGGACGGCTTTCAGGAATGGGCTCTCTCCTGTGAGGCTGTTACATGTAATGATTACCTGATTTGTTCTAGTATAGTAAAACCTCGTAAGTCAGAAATTGAAATAAAGACCCAAAAAAAAACCCAATGAAAACAGAGTGATTGACTGACCCTCTCTCCACGGTTTTTCCAAACCACCAGCAGCAGAAACTCCCCAGAACTACTCCTCCTCTTGGGGGAGGGGCCCCTAAACCCTCCAAGAACTTTATGGCTAATTCTGGTGAGCCAGTCGCTGACTCCGTCCTTTGATTCAGGTTGCTTTACTGGCACAATGAATTGGCTGTGTGGTCAGTTCTCCTGCACCATTCCCGCCATGATTGGGAGTATCAGACTCAGGCTCTCAGCGAGGTCATTTATCCTTTATCCACTGAACCATCTCCCCGCCCCATGTTTTACATTTCCGTTAACAGTTTCTTCATTTTTGCTGTATTTCCTGTTGCCTTTAGTTTTCATTTCAGCCATATCTGTCAGAATGAGTAATGTACATCTCGTGGTGCTTTTGCCTTACACTTCCTGAAGGTAATGATGTTCCTGTCTTTAGCTATATGGCCTCTGTCTTCACCCGTTAAGTCTGTACTCCAGCTACTGGTGTTTTGTCGTGGACTTTTTTTACAGTATTTTCCCCACTCTACCCAATGTTTTCATCTTATTGACAAAAACTTTTTGAAAGCGAAAGTTGTTGTTTTGGTTTCAGCATTGCTTGTTTGTGTTTTTTAATTTTATTTATTTTAATGTGTATTATATTTTCCCTGCCCGTACGACTGTGCACTGTGTATGTATAGTGCCCATAGAAGTTGTATCAGATCCTCTAGGACTGGAGCTACCGGTGGTTGTGAGCCTCCCATGTAGGTGCTGAGAATTGAACCAGGTTCTCTGAAAGTGCTCTTAACTGCTGCGCCATCTCCCCAGCCCCTGATTGTTTGTTTGTTTGTTTGAGTGTGAGTGTTCTTTTGAGACAGGGTCTCTCAACATAACCCTGGCTGTCCTGGATCTCACTCTGTAGACCAGGCTGGCCTCAAACTCACAGAGATCTACCTGCTTCTGCTTCCCAGGGATTAAAGGCATGCATGAAATCAGTTTATTACTTCTTCATTTATGTTGTTATTGTGAAGGCTAAGAACTTTTTGCCTAATCATAGATCTTGTATTAGTCTGGTATGGTGGCACAGACCCATCATCCCAGCACTCAGGAGATAACAGGCAGAAGGATTACAAGTTACAGTTATCATTAGCTATAGCAAGTTGGAAGCCAACTAGGAATATATGAGATCCTGGGGAGGGCGGGAACAGTTTTTAAACTGAGTTAATAATGAATAACCTTATTGATTTCATTTTTGGGTTTTGGGCCTTTTTTAAGTGTGTCTTTTGTATTAAAAAGTGACTAATTTAAAAATAGAGGGTTCCGTTCCCTGTTTATGGTAAGAGATATATGGGTGTTCCATGTATCTGATGACACACTCTTATTTGTTTGTTTACCTTTTATTGTTTTTTTTTTTTTTTTGGTTTTTGGGTTTTTGAGGCAGGGTTTTTCTGTGGAACAGCCCTGGCTGTCCTGGAACTCACTTTGTAGACCCAGCTGGCCTTAGACTCAGAGATCTGCTTGTAGGCAAAGGGTATTATTAAATATAGTAAGGATATTCATCTCAGAGTCGAATATCCTATTGAGTCTCAGAAAATGAACTGTGAAACAGCACGTAGGACACAAGGAGAACCTGAGCCAGAGCTGCACGAACACCGAAGACTGTGAGCATACATCACACGGTCAGTTGGAAGCAATAGAGCCTGATGCAGAAATGCAAAGCAATAGGCAGGGGCCATGTAATGGAAGGCACTGGACTTTTCTAAGCATAAGGGAGGTATTGAGGAACATAGGGGAAAAGACTGCCGTCGCTTCTTGGTAGCTGATTTTGCAGAGTGAAGATGCTTTGAAGGGGACACAGAGTAACTGCCAGAGCCCTTGGCCATCAGCTGACAGACAAGGAGCAGGATGATCGGTGTCATTCTTTTTGTATGGGAAGCATGGTCCAGCTCATGGATTCTTTTAGAGGATCAGGCTCCGCTCAGGTGGTAAGATGTGTGAAGACTCACAAGCTCTCTCTCTCCAAGAGTAGCAGTAGTTCTCACTCAGTCAATTAGGGCCAAAAGTTTCTTCTCCTCTAGTCTGTTTTCACATAGGTAAGACATAGACATGCAAGTTATATATTACATAGGGGAAACTTGCATTTTAAACTTACATCTCATTTAAAAAGTAGTTTTTTAGAGGCTCTAAGATAAAAGAGTAGATAAACTGAAGGGATAGTATTACCCAGAATTATATGTCAAGAAAGAAAAATTTGACCCTCACGTTTTATTTATTCTTAATTTCTGTTCTATTTTCTCTCATTTATGAAGGTTTAAAAATATCAGTTACTGTTCTTTTGGGGAGAACTAAAAGGAGAAAAAGCATAAAAATTCAATTCTTGCTGCTACTTTGTACCCATCTGTGCCTTCCTATTTCCAGTTGTGCAAATGGACTCTAGCTTGCCAAGTTTCCCACTGTGTGCACTGGGTGAGGCGTTGCACCCAGTTAGTGAACTTTGTGAAGATAAATGAACAGAATAAACTACTGCTTCTTCATTTCGTGTAGGGCGACACTATCTCTGTGAGAATGTGTGTCTGTATCCCACGTGTCATCCAGTTTATCCGTTCAAAGTGTATTACTTAATGGTGACATGTCTCTTTAACAGGGAAAAAAAGATGTGACCCAGATATTCAACAACATCCTGAGAAGACAGATTGGTGCACGGAGTCCTACTGTGGAGTACATCAGTTCTCACCCTCATATCCTGTCTATGCTCCTCAAAGGGTAGGTACCTGGCTTCTTGGGCGTAGCTGTTAAAAAGTATGCAGTGTGCCCCCTGGCCCCAGAACTGCAGGGTCAGTGTCTGCAATGTGAGCGCAGCCCTCCAGATCCAGCTCTAAATGGCTAAACCTAGAGGATGTCCTTCCTTTGTGCGCTCCTCTCCGCAGTGTTGTTTGCATTTTCTGCCTCTTTCCTCTGCCTTCTTGCTGTTCGTGTCTCTTTCTATATACCTCTTTTGCTTCCTCATCTTCCCTGTGCATAACTACCCTATTACTATTTTTCTGCTTGCATGATGTTATGTCCCATCATCGCACACACAAATGCACTGACACTCATACATAATCTAGTTCTCCAACTCAAACAATAGGGCTAAGCCTTCTTGCAGTAGCTAACATGTCAAGGTGGAGATAAATGATCTCTGTGGGTATAAACAGATGTTTACACCGAGCTATAAAGAGGGAGAGGAACACTGAACTCCAGGAATTCCTGGTCATTGCTTTCTGAGTCTACTCACTCGTGTGTCTTGAGCATATTGAAGCTACCCTGAATCCTCAGCATTGGTGCTCTAGGTCCCATGAGACATGCAAACATGCATGTGACGGTCCTCCCCTGTGCTCCCTTTCTGTGCCTGTTCCGTATCTCAAGCCAGCACAGCTCATTTTACTGCCTAGTGTTCTTGTTTCCAATGCTGTGGGGCACGTGAAGTCTAGTCCTCCCCTGCCGATGTGTAAATATTTAACTGTGTTAGTGGCATATACACAGTTTGAAAGTCAGCTGTCCAACAAACAGGAGCTCTTTCTTCTCCATCCCTCGGTCCCGTTGCCCAGTGTCAGCCGTTCTTTTTTATTTATTGAGTTTTAAAAATCATACGTTTACCTCTGCATTACAAATAATTCTTAGCTTTTGAGTTGGTGGAATCCACTGGTCTATCAAGTTAATAGATTCCTGAAGGTTTTCGTCTGTTAGTCACAGGGTGTTCTGACACAGAAGTAAGCAAGAAAATGACTATTTAGGGGCTAAATCCAGCCCCAAGACAAGGCTCAGCTCTGCAATACAAAAGCTTCTCCACACCACTGCAGTTCTCCTCAGCCAGTCAGTTCTACAGAAACCACTTCTTCCCAGGAATTCTCATTCAGACTTAAGTGGGGGGAGGGGGAGTTTAATTCTTCTGTGCTTCTGGGGACAGGGTGGATAAGGAGACACATTGGCTGGAATAGCTCTAACTCATCCAGTGTAAGAAGGGGCACTTCCTGTTCAGCCCTTTGTTAAAGTCAGCATTTTTACTAAATTACCTGCTGTGAAGGTCATTGAAAATTTAGGCTCTAACTTGATTGGTCCATTTGTATATCCAACAGTGGCATTGTTTAGGGGCTCACTGCTAACATGCTACACTGAATACAAGCCCAGCCACAAGGAATATCACATAGAAAGAAATTGATACTTGTATAATAAGAAGAATCTAAATGTGGTGCATAAGGAACTTAGAGCTCACATTTTATGAAAAGGACTTTTGAAAGGACCATTTCATTCTAAATTAATTTTTTACTGGCTGAGACAGATGGTATTCCAGCTGCCGATGAGGTTGCTAAACTTCTCTCGGTGTTCCATAAAGAAATCATAGCTACAAGATGTTCCATCTAATGTTAAAACCACACATATTTCCTCAAATCTTAGTTTTTAAGTTCATTGCAAAAATTTTCAGCCATCTACAAATGCAAGAGCTCACGTTCTCATCACTCAGCCATCACTACTTAGCTTGGTGCATGCCATCTTGCCGCTGTGCAGCATCCAACCTTCTTTTTTTTTTTAAAATTTTTGTTACTCATTTTATATACCAACTACAGTTCCCCTTCCTTCCCTTGCTCCTGCTCCCTGCCCACCTCCCTCCAAGTCACTTTCTAGCCACTCCTCAGAAAGGGTAAGGCCTCCCATGAGCATTAAGGCTGAGCAAGGCATTCATCCCACCACAGGGAATGGGCTCTAAGAAGTCAGCTCATGCACCAGGGATAGATCCTGGTCCACTGCCAGGGGTCCCACAGACAGATGAGACCACACAACTGTCGTCCACATGCAGAGGGCCTAATTCAGTCCCATGCAGACTCCTAGCTGTCAGTCTAGAGTCCCTGAGATCCCACGAGTTCAGGTCAGCTGTCTCTGTGGTACCCAACCTTTTTAGTTGAGGTATTTTAAAAAGCAAATCCCTGAACACTTTGATAAGCATCTCAAAAAGGAAGATAATTTCATTTATCTACAGTGTATTTAAAAGTTAATAAAATTCTGCAACAACCAATACCCTTCCTACACTCAATTTTTCTTACAGTTTTTTTTCCCTACACTTCACATATTGAAATAAGTATCCTAACAAGGTCTACTTAGTGTATTTGGTTATGATTTTTGTTAGCCAAAAAATTTTAAGTCCCTCTCACTCAACACCTCATCCATCCACACAGTTCTGTGCTATGAGTCTGTTGAAAAGTGGGTTGTCCTGCACAACTCTGTTGTGGCGTTGTCACGTGGCGTTCTATAGAATAATTTAAATTGTTACAGAATCTGGCATGGGGGGGCCAGTGGGTAAAAGTGCTTGCTGTACAAGCCTGACACTAAACCCGGGAACCCACTCCTGAATCCTGGTAAAAGATGTTCCACTTTCAGGAGTGGGAGGGAGGCACATATATTGCCCCTCCCCATAATACTGAATTAAACAAGTTCTTAAAATAATCGTTAATCTTTCCATTTTTAAAGATCTGTTTAAAGACTTGGATTCAAATTGAGCTTTTATTTTGGCAGTAGTGTTTCCCCATCACATCAGTAAACATCCCTCTAAAGATGCTGAGACTGAGTCCTAGGCTCAGATGGTAGCATCTAATTCGTCATAAGGCTTTCCTGTCGTCCTTACATTGACCTTTTTATCAACTTAGTTAGGGGTCACAGAAAGTAATTTGCAAAATCAGTCCTTCGTTGGTTAGTTTTATAAAAAAAAAAAAACAACTTTCATCCACTATAACTGTTATTTTCAAGTAGAATTCATATCAGAAGGGCAGAATAAATGCTTATTTTCATTTTCAGCTTGGATAAGTTATTGTCCTAGAAACTTCCATTGGTATCAGCGACTTTCTGCCTCTCCTCTCTCCCTGTCTGCATCTGTCTATACCTTCCTCTCCTCTACACAGCATGCACATCTGGCATCTTACTAACTAACTGATGACATATTCCCACATAGCTCAGCATTGTGCAGAATTTTCTTAACATTCCATTAACTGTGGCCTTTTCTGGACACGGTCTTTTCACCTCACCGAAATATTCTGAAAGAGCTACTTTGCTTTCTGATGCAAGATTTCCTAGACCCAACTTCACATCTCCAGACAGAGATCTGGCCTCTGCTTCTTTGATGAGGAATAGTTCTTGGAGAAATTAGTCTGGGCTCTCAGTTCTTACTCACATTGAATTGTTACCATTCCTAACCCTTCACAGTGGACCAAGGTAATTAATTAATTTTCAATTATGCAAAGGCTTCCAGATTAGAAGCAGATCTTTTTGACTGTTAAGTAGGTAAAATGTTCAGTAAATGGCATTTCATGAGACATTTTCCAACGACTGTCACATGGCATTATTTGTTCCCGGCAGTAACACCAAGTCTTTTTCTTTTGTATAATGCAGTCTTTGTTCTTGAGATGTTCTTACACAAGATCTTTCTTCTGGTACTTTCTATGTAATTGTCATTGCACTCATTACCAGTTGAAGCATTTGCTCTTTTTATCCTTTTTATTTTATTAACACTTTTTATTCTTTAAAACTGTTATATAAAGTATTTTTATCATATCAATGAATGCCTTCTGGTATTAATAACTCCATGATATAGGAAAAATCACACCTTGAGTCCAATTAATGCTGTCCACATGTACTCAGATGTGGAACCATCCACTGAGGTATGGGCAAACTATCAGTGGTCGTGTCTCCAAAAAAAGAGTGACTCTCATTCCTTCAGTAACCATGAATTGCTTTTAGCTCCTTTGCCTAGGGTGGGACTTCCAAGTAAAATTCTTACTGGCTTGGTCTTATGCAGGTCTTATGCAGGTAACCACAGGTTCTGTGCATTGATGTGTGCCGCTGTCATGTCGTGTCCAGAAATCTGTAGTGCATAGCTCTCCTCCCCATCAGTCACCTCTTCTCTTCTCTCTGGCTGCTCTCTAACTTTTCCCTGCACCTTGGATGGGAGTTGAAGAGTTAATCGAGATTTTCAGCTAAACACTTATGGTTTTTATACTCAGCACCCTGACCAGATGGGAGACTCTGCATTCACTACTGTGCACTGCAAAAAGTAACTTCTTTAAGCAAGGTTGAGAAGAACACAAATCTGTGGGTATAAAAAAACATTTAGAAAGCAGTTTAACAGTATGATCATTTAATAAGAATAGTAAGTGTCGGGGTTGGAGAGATGGCTCAGCGGTTAAGAGCACTGGCTACTCATCCATAGGTCCTGAGTTCAATTCCCAGCAACCACATGGTGGCTTACAACCATCTATGAGATCTGGTGCCCTCTTCTGGCAGGCATACATGCAGACAGAACATTGTATACATAATAAATAAATTTTAAAAAAAGAAACCTGTGCATTCATTTAAAAAAAAAAAGAATAGTAAGTGTCCCCTGTAGAGCCTATGATCTCCCTGGCCATAGGCATTTGACCAGTTTTAAATACCAGTCATTGAAATCCTTCGTATGGGCCAGGCCTCTTATCTAATTAAAAAAAAAAAGAAAGAAAGAAAAGAGAAAGTGTTTTGTTATCCCCATAACCATCATACCACTGTTTGCACCAATGGGTACATCTTGCCAGCCAGGTTGTTAATTCTAACATATGGGATCCAGTGGTGGGTGAGACTATTGGTGTCTTTCCTCCTACAGCAGCGTGCAGAGTACCCTCCTGTACTGCCTAAGCTAGACAGCAGGGAGAGAGTTTCCTGGTCAGTTGAGGTTGATTTCTCTAAAGACACTCACTCTTCTGTTTTGCTTTAAGTTTAAAAGGATCTTCTGATCTGCTGCCATAATGAACATGCATATACTGTAGTACGCCTTCTCCATACTGACACAACTAGTCGGGCTCAGACTGTGGTTGTCTAACCTATAAATCAGGGAAGATATGATTCAACTTTATAAAACAGTGACCCGCCCTAGGCTAGCCATTGTGGCGTGGTTAGTCACAGGCCCTGTGACAGGAATAGAACAGATTAGGAAGGATAAAGACTAATTTCGAAACCTAAGACAGGCTTGGTGCATGGAACATGTCTTTATATAGTAAGCATTAACTTATGAAACCAGGATTGTCAGGTTGAAGTGATGTATGTGAGTCATGGACCCCGTAGACAATATTGAGGAAAATCAGAAAATTCCCAAACATCCCAGGGTTCCATACTTTAAGAAGTGCTGTGTCAGAGAATGACATTTTCCACTGCTGGGGACAAACTCCTGGGATGAATTGATAAGTATTCTCCCCAGTGGAGTACTTTATAAATGTTCTCTTGGTTCTCAAAAATAAACCATCAGTGTATCACAGATGGTTCCAATAAACTTCTTGAGCTGAAAGGAAAAATAGAACTAATTATACCCAAAACATAGAGTGGAAACTTTTTATAGATGGTCTCAGCTTGGAAACTAAATTCAGGAATGAGAGATGTTGGCTGGAGATCATTCAGCCTTTGTATAAGGCAGAGGGACTCTCATTAGAGTTCTCTGGTATTGGTAGATTCAGTCTGAGTCATTGGAGTCATCATGTGCCTACACTGAAAAGCATGCTAGGCACTAGAGGTCATGGGGGAGGGGAAGTAACAATAAACAGGACGTAGATGCCCACTGGGACTGGAAAAATAGGGAAATGTAAAAGGGCAAGTGAGACACATCCCCAGACATGAAGTTATTTAAAATGAAGTGATAGAAGCCGGCTTGTCAGGACTGAGTACAGTGTGACAGGATAGTACCCGATGGGAAGAATGCTGGTGTGGGGCTAGGGACGGCTCTGTGGGAATGCAGAAGAGGAAGAGCACAAAGGACTGGAGATGGGCACTGAGCTAAGTGCTGGAAGATGTATTGGTGGTGCCAGACGTACGAGGGACATTCCACCCGAGAGAACTTCGTCCTCTAAGGGCACAGGGGCTGAGATGGGACAGAAAACTGGTGGCCTCAAGCCAGAACCTGTAAGGTCACAGATATCTAACCAGTGAGTGTAGATTTTAATTAGTCCTAGATACCGTGTCTATCTCGTGCTGGTCTCCCCTTAGGCCAGTGCTTCTCAACCTGTGGGTCACGGCCCCTTTAGTGTCACACATCAGCTATTTGCCTTACAGTTACAGCAGTCGCAAAGTGACAGCTATCAAGTAGCAGTGAAAGAATTTATGGTTGGGGCTCACCACAGCATGAGGAACCGTGTTAAAGGGTGGCAGCATTAGGAAGGTTGAGAACCCCTGCTCTAGGCCACTGGCCTTTATTTTATAGCCTCTTTAATACTCTTACTTGTAGTAAGGTAAGTGTAACTAGTATTTTTTCCTTGACATTTAAGAAAATATGCCCCTCTTTACATCTTTAGTAACATCTCATATCTAACAGCAGTGAATTCCAGTAGGCTGATTTCCAAATTTCTTTCATAAGAGGTTGCTAATAGGGCTGGAGAGATGGCTCAGAGGTTAAGAGCATTGCCTGCTCTTCCAAAGGTCCTGAGTTCAATTCCCAGCAACCACATGGTGGCTCACAACCATCTGTAATGGGGTCTGGTGTCCTCTTCTGGCCTGCAGGCATACACACAGACAGAATATTGTATACATAATAAATAAATAAATATTTTTTAAAAAAAGAGATTGCTAATATAAATTGCCACTATTTCTTTTCTAAAGAGAATTACGTTTATCTGAATATATTGGCATCTTGTGCTGCTGTGAGCTACTGAAGGAAAACTAGAATAGTACTGAACAGTGGTTCTCATTTAGCATAAGTGAAACTAAATCAATACCACTCTGAATTTTCTTTGCTATTTCCCTTACTGGTTTTTTTTTTTTTTTGTCAATTTGAATACTGTAAAGTAGCCTACTTCCTAAAGTGTAGGAAAGGGAATTTTACTTTTGTATTTGAATTTCATACAAATAATATGGTCATATGAAAAAGGGCACATTGTTTTTTATTACTTAACAAAATGTTAACATTAGTAGTTGGTAAGTTTTCATAAGCTATCTTAAAGTTGTTTGTATATTTACTTATTGCTATGTGTAAAACGCATCTGTGTGTGGGAGTGTGCACGTGAGTTCCAGTGCCCTGGAGGCCGAGGTGTTGCCCTCCCCTGGAGCTGGAGTCGCCCACGGTGATGAGCCCCTCTGCAAGTACAGTAGTACTTGTAACCACCGAGCCCTCGCCCCAGCCTCTTTAAGTTTTATTTAAGAATTATTTAGTTTTGGTTTTCAGACATTCGGGTTTTTTTTATTTTATTTATTGAAAACATAATCTTCTGCCACAAAATTAATTTATGTTGCTATTTTTCCTTTTAAATTTTTAAAAATAAACTTTATTATAAAAACATTTGCAAATAAATAAAAAGATTATACACCAAAATAAACCAGACCCAAAATTTATAGTTTAATGAGCTTATAAACAGAATTGGCATTCAAAATGGAAGTTGTGAAGCTTCACCTTAAATTTTATACTTTCTGTGTCAAATATAATTTATGTACTTAATCCACCACTAAACCCAAAACATCCATATCAAAATCAGAGCTAGAAGATATCCCCTTTTATAACTTGTGGTAAATTTGAAAGATAAACCAGCTCCTTTGTGGGTGTCACACCATCCTGTTCTCAGAGAACACTGCACTCGGGTGCCTTTTCGAGAGCTGAGACGTTGAGAGGTCTTCTCTGTAGGCCTTTTACTGAAGCCAGATCTTAGTGCGAATTTGATTGAAATGGGAAACGATGAATCTGTTTAGAACCGTGGTAGACTCTTGTTTTGACTCTGGTTCTCCAGTGTCCTACAGCAGCAGCCGCCTCTGCTCTGTCTCCCTGCATTTAGCACACAGTTGTCACTGGATCATTCAATACAGGAATTGTCTTCTCTGGACTGTTACCATTTCCTTGAAGTGGAATGTGACGCAGTCCCGTGTTCATTCAGATGTTGAATTTAACATTTGGAAGACACGGTGTTTGGACATGGAGCTGATCTGGTGTGCCAGTCTTTCTCTGTTTCCTCAGTGGATACCATGTTTCTCTAGTGTACTTTTCTACGAGCCATAATTCCATTTCACGGTGTCAGTGAGCCAGGCAGTAGGTAGTCCTCTACTGTTCATCAGTTGCTTGCAGGCTATATTATATATAATCCTCTCCTGTCTTTTTCTTTAATTCAAGACGGGTACTCTGCTGACAAGGAGTCATCAGTGCTTAGGTACTAGCCATCTCCAAACTGAGGCTGACCGTCAGTGGCAGTTTCTTAACTTTTTCACTATCTCATTTCTCTTCAGTTTGTGCATGGTGCCACCTTCCACCCAACTAAACCAAAAGCACAGGAGTCATTCTTGAATCTGTAGCATGGATTCGTTCCTCATCAACCTCACGTCCTGTATCTCTAAATCTTGTTGGCTCTTCTTTTAGGCAGCATCAACATCTACCGACAGTCTTGTGTTCTGCCTCTGCCACCGTACCAAGCTGTCATTACTGTTGCTAGGCAACCCTTCCCCCTCCCCACCACTGCTCCTCAGCTTCCACTCTAGCTGCCCAGTCTACTCCTTATTCCCAAGTAGCCAGGGACTTTTTAAACTATTTTGATGATTCTGGGAGTCGAACCAGGGCCTCCAGCATGCCTGAACATTGCTCTCACTGCACTGCACCCCACCCCCAGAGCCTTCTGTTGAAAACAACATAACTTGTTGCTTTAAACACTCCATCACACTTAAAACCGAGCTCCTTACCTTAGCTCTCAAATGTATGTATAATCTGGTCCTGCCCTGCCCTCTTGTGATCCTACTCACTACTTTGTCCATCCCACCATACTGGCTACATTTCCTCTCCTCTGACTCACCAAGCTTGTTCTTGCCTTGAAGCTTCTTCCTTCTCCTTCAGTATAAATTAAAATACTCCCTCATATTCTCACAGGCACGCATGTAAGTAGTCCACTCGAGACTGCCGAGTTTACTGCCTTCAGCTTTCACAGCACTTCAGAGTATAGGAAATGACCTTTATATTTCTATTCAGCTTCTTCCTCCCAACAAACACACCCTCACTAAAATGCTGGGGCTGCAATGACAGTGACCTCCCTGTGTGCTCTTGTGTCCCCAACGTCTGGAATAGCACCCAGCACATAGCAGTCCGTGGGTTGAATGAATGGTGTTCGAATGAACTGTAACAAATAGTGTCTGTATTTCTGTGATGAGCAGAACTGAGCTGGTGCTTCTGATGCCGTTGATGGATTTTGTTAGTGGAATAACTGTTCTGCTTTCTCTCTTGTTTGTGCTTTAGATATGAAGCCCCACAGATTGCCCTTCGCTGTGGGATTATGCTAAGAGAATGTATTCGACATGAACCACTTGCCAAAATCATCCTCTTTTCTAATCAGTTCAAAGACTTCTTCAAGTATGTGGAGCTATCGACATTTGATATCGCTTCAGATGCCTTTGCTACTTTTAAGGTAAAATTCCCCCCTAAAGCAGAGAGGATATTTATTTCAAGTAAGTTGACCTTCAAAGAGGCACTTCTACTTTTTAGGCCTAAATGTAGCCAGCCATGGATGAGGTGAGACCAGCCTTTCACATGGCAGAAAAGTTTGTAAAGTACTTAACACAAGCTTAGTGGAATGCTGTCCAGTGAAGAGACAGAAGTTGACAGAAATTGGTAGCAATGGCAGTTACATATTCAGTTTCTCTATAATGGAAAACCATGTGTTAGCACTGCTGCACATTAATAATAGGTTAAGGTGATAAGCCCCCACTTCAGGCACGTGTTCAGGGTAGCTCTGGAAGGGTGTGGGGAAACCACAGCAGAGGCTCCCTCCAGGGCGGAACTGGGTGAGAGAAGAAGATGGGCACCACCTCGTGGAGGGTGAAGACGTGAAGTCACTATATCAGTGTAGCTTTCACACTTCCATGGGGTAAGCACAATATTAATAAGAATATTAATATTTTGATATGGTCGGTCGTCTATGTGGACTTGTGTTTTATATTTTCACAGTGTAATCATCTGTGTTTTTAATCATCTGTTGTCTCCTTGGTCGTTTTGTGGGTATATTTCTCCTAACTTAGTTTTTTAATTTGAAAATGCTTTAGTCATGGTACAGCGCATGTACCAATAGCCCTTCTTTAGGCATGTTTAATATGGCTAAGTCTTTGTCCATCCTTCACCAGAAGCTTTTTATCTTGCCGTATTGAAACTCTGTCTTACTTAACTTCCCTTTCTCTCCTCCTTCTAGTCCCCAACAATGATTCCATTCTCTGTTTTTATGTGTTTTACCATCAAAAGGGTGTTCAGAGAGCATGTCAGAAAGTAGTATAGCTAATTTGCAAATGAAGCTACTGGAACTTAATTTGATGCATTCACCTTTAAGGATTTCATCTTAGAAAGCAATCCATTTATGGTTATGATTCTGCTATTATTTAATTTATTTGAAATTGGTATCAATGGCAGTTACATATTCAGTTTTTCTATGAAAACCTTTTCCTTCGAAGACAGCTGAAAGTTTTGGAAATGGTCAGACAGGGTAGTTCAGCAGCTACGTGCACTTGCCACCAAGCCTGTTGACCCTGAAACCCAACAGTGGAAGGAAAGAACCACCTCCCATCTGTATGCTCGGGTGCATGCACCAACACATAAAATATATAAGTAAGCAGATATGGATTTTTTAAATTTGAATGACATAAAGCTATTTGACACCCAAGTTAAGAGGACAGGGCAAATGACTCGCTAGCTACAGCTGTTTTTCTTTTGTCTTATAACAGAAGTCGCAATGGGAAAAAATAAATTCCAAGGTAACCAATATACAGTCTGATTTTGATTTTCTTCACTATTTATCACATTTGTTTTGAAGGTAATTTCTGAAAAAGAAATTCCAAAAATTGTGTAAGGGCATCATTAGAAAAGTAGACTTTGGGAAGTGGATAAAACTCATTTAAATATATAGATTAAGTCATTTCTTCAAAAATATTTCAGCAATTTAATCATTCACATAATTCTAAATGTACTTCTATTATTCTTTTCAGGGTATAAATACATGATATCTTTTAGAAAGCTTCTAACTTGTTACTTTTAAGTTCTATATATTATCTTAAACATGCATTACAGCAACATTGATACCACTTATAGTCTAATAATGACATATACTCTAATCTTATTTTTTAATAAAACTGCTATTGTCAGACTCATCACACAACTAAATTAAAGCATCCATTCAGATAGTAACTTGCTCAGTCCCATATTCTGTACATCATGGTGAACTTAGAGTTTATACAGTTGGAATGACTAGGTGATAAACAGTTCTTTACAGAGTAGTTCTTTAGAGGTGGAGAGAGGAGAACAGTGGTTTTCAGCTCAGGAAACCATTACTTGCACCTTAAGAACCTGCTTAGCATATTCTGAGAATGTTTGAAGACAAATAGCAGTATATGAGCTCATGAAAGCTAAGTCGGGGAAGCATCAGAAAATGGGAAGAGTCCAGAGATGGCTACAGACTGGGCTGGGAAACACAGAAGTGGGGACTGAAGGAAAGGAAAGTTGCTCTAGGGAAAGGAACAAGACTGGAGTGCAGTGGAGGCTGTGATGATGTGAGACTGGTGAGCAAAGTCAAAGTGTGGTCAAGGGGAAAGCAAGTCTGAGCAGCTACCTGGGAATATTACGAAATAATGGAAATTGAACTGACAAGAACCATCAGAAGAATACAGATTAAGATGATGGAAGTAGTGATAGTCACTAACAAGTGTATTTGCTTGGTAGCCATGCCGAATCTCTGGGAGCTATAGAAGAAAGGAACTGCAGGCTGGCCTGCAGTAAACAACTTGGGGCTTGAAGGAGGGCCAGCACAGCCCACTAGGGTATTTGGCTCTTTTCAACTAGTCTGCATGAACAGGAAGTCTAGCAAGACTGAGGATGCGGGGCAGGGGACTAGTTCAGAAGTCAGGCCTAGTGTCTGAGAGTCGGTGGTAAATGACAGAACCAAAAACAGCAGACAGATTCAGAGCTACACAAAGTGCAGCTTATTGGGAACTCACGGAAAGAAGCACGTCTTGGGCAGCAGGGAGGGAGAATTCTTGTGCCTCGGGCAGGAGGAAAGCTATGCAAAAGTGAGCTGTGACCAACTGAAATGTACTTGACCTTTCTCCAAAACAATTAGCATGTCAGGCGTTAGTTAGGAAACAGTCCAGACACAGGTGGCCATCAATAAAAGCATGGCCAATTATCTTAACAGTTTGATTTACCCTTCTGACTTTGGGAACTCCTTTGGGTTCCCAGACAGGCAAAATGTTTGTAACAACTAAGACTTCTGTAGCCATCTTGAGCTGGTTCCATCCAGGGGAGAATTAAGGAGACCATGAAAATCAGAGGAAGACATGCAGTGTAAAGAAAAAAAAAAAACTGGGAAGACCAGGGACGAGGAAGGAGAGATTCTGGGAACAAACTACGCCAAGTGTGGAGGCTTCGAAGGTTTATTACCAAAACACACAACTGAGCCTCTGAAAGGGCAAAGCATTCTGGCTGTGGGTCTGTGTATTTGCTTCCATCTGCTAGATGATGAAGCTTCACCGATGATAACTGAACAAGGCCTGGATCAATGAGTGTACCAGAATGTCATTAGGAGTCATTTTATTGCTACCTTCCTTTAGTAGAACAGTAGTTAGTATATGGTTTTCTCCTAGGTCCTTGGCCTATCTTACCCAGGTTCTTGGCTACCCAAGCAATGTGGAGTATAGGTTCCATCTCATGAAGTGGACCTTAATTCAAATCAAATATTGATTGGGTACTTTCACAAGCTTTATGCTAGTATTGCACCAGTGTTTCTTGAAGGCAGGGCAACATTCTAGGTTGAAGAATTTGTAACTGGGGTGGTATGTACCTTTCTTCTTTGCTAGCATGCAGAGTACCTTCCGGTACCATGAACATTAGTCAGTAGGGGTGGTGAAGGCTCTAGGTAGGCACTCTTGATTTCTCCATGTTCAATGGATTGTGCAGGTGTCGTCTTTAGCACTAGGTTTTTACCTTCAGTTTGTAGGAGCCACCAATGGCCTGAGCAATAGCCTGGGTTGTTTGGGTGTTCCCGTGGGACCCCTTCGGCCAAGAACTCGATTAGATATACCCTTTTCCTAATATTGGCAGCTTCCTTTGGTAGCAAGAGATGGGCAGTTGGGTTTCTGTCTTCCCCATTATTTCTCAATTTTATTTAGAACCCCTTCATATATGTGTATATTTTAAGAAGCTTCTACTGTATTACATTTTCATATTACATCTCAAATAGCTTAGTTTTATCTGGCCCTCTCTATATTCCCTCCCTTGCCCAACCCTCTTTCCTTTCCCTCCTTGTTTTAATCCTCCTGTTCCAGGGCCCCTCTTCATCCATCCCTGATTATCTATTCTATCTCCCCCTCCTAGGGAGTCCATCCTTACACCCTAGTCTCTCACACACTACCTAACCTCTGTGACTGTACGGGTTGTCGCTTGCTTATGAATGACTTAAAAGTTAATACCCACTTTTAAATACATTTCTGGGTATTTTACTTAGAATAATTTTTCTAATTTCACCCATTTACCTGAGAATTTAATAATTTCATTTTTTAATGACTGAATGTTGTTCCACTGTGTAACTGTTGCTTATTTTCTTTATCTGTTCATCCATACACAGACATCTAGGTTGTTTCCAATTTCTGTCTATTGTAAATAGAGCAGCAGTGAATATACATGGTTAAACAAGTGTCTCTGTGGTAGGATGGGTTCTTGAGGTAGATTGATTCCCCATCATCCTGAGGAACCGCCACACTGATTTCTGCAGTGGATGTTCAAGTTTGCAGTCCCACTAGCAATGGAGGAGTGTGTCCTTTACTTCACACCCTTACCGGCATGAGCTGTCATTTGTTTTATTGATCTTGCCCATTCTGATGGGTATAAGATGGAATCTCAAAGTAGTTTTGATTCATATTTCCCTAATGGCTAAGGATGTTGAACATTTCTTTAAGTGCTTCTCAGTTGTTTGAATTTCCTCTTTTGAGAACTCTCATTTTAAATATATAACCCCCTTTTAACTGGGTTATTTTCTTGTTGTCTAGTTTTTAACTTTTATATATATATTTTAGATATTAATCCTCTACTGGATGTATAGTTGAAAAAGTTCTTTTCCAATTCTGTAGCCTGCTGCTTTGTCCTACTGACAGTGTCCTTTGACATACAGAAGCTTTTCAGCTTCGTGAGGTCCCATTTATTAATTGTTTTTAGTACCTGAGCTACTGATGTTCTGTTCAGAAAGTGTTTCCCTGTGGTGATATGTTTAAAATTGCCCCCCCCCATTCTACATGGCAACCGTCCAGTTTGACCAACAGCATCATCAGATGCCATCTCTTTTCCAGTGGATATTTCTGGCTTCTTTATCAATAGTTAGGTGTCCATTGGTAGACTGATTTCTGGGTGGTTTGACCTTGCTGGCCTCTTATTCTGCTCCAGGATAACTGCTGTCCAGGTCAATCAGTCGTGTCATCATTGCCAGCTGTTTGCCCCTCACATTGTCTCCGGTTCCCTGGCACTGTCTGCAGTAGGGTCCTCCTCCTCTAAAAGGTCCCCTTGCAGCCATCCACCCTTCCCTCCAGGACTCTCACTGACTTGGTCATTTCAGTTCTGGCGCTCTTTGCCACCCCTTCGCCCTGTGTCACTGTCCTTGAGCCTGTGAGTTTCATTTTCCTCCTGTGGGATCTGGAGAAACCGCAGCAGGTGGCTCCTCCCACTGACTGTCTACCCCGCCCCTGCTGTCAGGTGTCTTTCTCATCTCACACCGCTTTCTCCACGGCGGATTCATTAGGAATGTCAACGGCAGATTTTTTTAAAGCTTAATATTGATACTGTGAAGAACTTTCCCTTATCAAACCAAATGGTTAGGAAATAAAGTGAAAGAATTCACTCAGTAATTTTTTTTAATTTAAAATTCTTTAAAATTTCACTTGTTTTTACTTTGCATGCTTCTACTGTTTCCTTCTTGAGTAGGATTCAAGCTAATGTTTCTGCATCTCCCCCCTCATATTATATTATGATCTATAGTAAATTAACAACTGTGTACATAGGCATGCACATGCAATATGATCCCTGAGTTTTAGCACATGGTCTCCATATATATGAACTTGAGGGTTTGTTGATGTGTTTATCATATGCTCAGAGACTGATGTAGTGGTTAGAGAGCCCCCACAGGTGCACAGCTTACAGCGTCTGCTGCAACCCATAAAGATACACCTTCTGCTTTCTTTGAGCATGAAAAATTCCCTAAACTGCCTAGGGGCTCCTACCAGATGTGGGGGGGAGCTGCAGCTACAGATGAAGATCCCATATCTGCTTAGAGATTGCCCCAAATGCTCTGCAACAGCTTAATGTCTCCTGGATGTCCTGACACAGAACTCATTAGAAAGGACCCCAGTCGGGTAGGAATGGAGCCCCCAAAGAGTGTTTCCCTACTTGAAAGCCCCGGTTCCAAAACAGTTCTCAGTGCTCTGCTCCACGAGGAAAAGTTTCACCATATCAGCAAAGGGACCAGTCAAGTTAAAGGCTCATGACGTTGTGGTTGAGCTTGAAGATTGTAAAACTACAAATAGCCTCCTCTCATCTTCAAGAAAGGGTATTCTAAGAAAGACAGAAGCTTGCTGAGCTACACAGGCCTGTCATCTCAGTAGCTGGGAGGTAGACGCAGGAAGATCAGTTCAAGACCAGCTTCAACTACATAGCGAGTTTGAAGCTAGCCTTGGCTGCGTGAGACAAAGATGGGAAGAAAAATAAACGGTTGCATATTATTTATATGAACTCAAAATGGTGAAGTACTGTGGAAAACAGTATGGACAAACCTCAGAAATGTAAAATGGGATTATTATAAGACTTAACAGTCCCATTCATGGGTATTGACAAAGAAAATGAAGTCTGTTGAAGAGTAGTTACTGTAGCATTGTTCACAGTAGCAGGGAAAGGAATCAGCCTGAGTGTCCACTGACAGACAAGTGAATAAATAAATGAGGTAGTGCCTGGTGAGAGGCCACTGCGAGCCTGGCATCCAGAATTTTATTCCCAGAATGAAGCCACATGAAAAGTCAAATGTGGTGGCATGCATTTATGATGGAAGCACCTCAGTAGTGAGATGGGAGGCAGAGGGAGGAGAATCACCCAGAAGCCTGGAGTGTGCCGCTCAGTAAGAAATGAGAGAATACTGCTCAAAACAAAGGTTGAAGGCGAAATAAAAACAGCTCCCCAAAATCGTCCTCTGATGTCCATTATTGCATTGTACTGACACACACCATATACACATCATACACACAAACACAAAAGAAAGGAAAATGTGTTGTACACCTGCAATGGAGTACTATTTAGCTATAAAAAGAAAAAAATCCTGCCATTTGCTTCAACGTTGAGGAACCTCAAGGAATTATGTTAAGTAAGTAAGACACAACAGGAAGAGAAATGGCATCATTTATATGTGGAATCTAAAGATATTAAACTCATAGAAGGAAAAACCAGAATGGTCCTGGGGTAAGAGTTGGTCTGGGGATACAAGATTTCCATTAGGTATACAAATATATGTTGGTTTATTATGGAACATGTTGGTCCCTGTTAATAGCAGTGTGTTGTGTTGTGAAAATCACTAAGAGTGTATTTTTTGTTATCAGTGCAAATAAGCAAACATATTAGGTAATGCATGTGCTAAAATTACCTGACTGCATCATGTGTTACCTTTCCACAGCTTTGTATGGCAAAATACTTGAGATACCCAACCGAAATTTCATCTTAACTTACAGCTTCAGAACATGGTTAGCTGGTTGGTACTTTGAGGCTGTGGTGAACAAAACCTCCTGGCAATGAGGGTGTGGTGGGGCAGTGCTGCACGCTTCAGTGTAGAAGGAGAGTGGCAGTGCTGTCCCTTCAAAGTCCCCACTCTGTCCAGCTGAGCTCTTGTGTACATAGCCACTAGTCCCACCCAGGCGGTCAAGCAGCCTGAGCCTGAGCCAGCATAGTGAGACTTCATTTCCCTCCCTCCCTCCCCATACCTCAGGCAGCAGCATTGCACTGGCATTTGGGGCCATTTAACCCGCGGTCTGTAGGTGATCCTAGCACCATGGGGAGATGATCCAAAGCATAGCAAGCCACAGACCAGTGCACACTGCACCAGAATATCATCCACATACAGTGAATATGTTTACAGCCAACAAACAAGGTTGCTTAAAAGCTGTGCAAAATGCTTTAACCAGTCTCCTTTTTTATTATTTAAATAGAAGTAGGGGGCTAGAGAGATGTCTCAGGGGATGTCTTCAGAGGGACCTGAGTTTAGTCACAAGCACCTTGCCCAACAGCTCAGAGCAGCCTGTAACTCTAACTCCAGGGGATCTGGTATCCTCTTCTGGCTTCCATGGCAGCTCCACTCACATGCCCCTCCCCTCCCCCACCTACTGTGTGTCAGGGGAGGGGGAGAATTTTTTAATTAACTGTATTAAAGTATTATACTTTATTCTGGGCAGGTTAAAAAAATTTGTTTTTAATTAAATTTTTCACATAACCTAAGTTGGGTATTTAGCCTCTAAGTATATAATAGAAATTAGATGAGGCATATTTTTTTTCAAGCATCGGGGTGAAATAGGGATATGATTTAGGTGTGAGTTAAAGAAAACCAGAAGTTCCTTCATGGTTTTTTGCAGTTTTCTGCAAATTTATGTCTATGGTAAGATGAGATTGATTCTCTTCAACCCTGAGAAAACACATTACATAACTCAGTAACTTGCAGTGTGTGTCTATCTCATGACCTGAGGGCAGGCAGACAGTGCTGAGGAGACATGTCAGATGTCACGCCTGTGCTTCTAGAGTCCTGCTCTCTCCATCTGGGGTGGGAGCAGAGATGGCTCAGTGGGTCCAGCAGGTGCTTCACGGGCCTGGCCTGAGTTCAGCCCTCAGAACCCACTTCAGAGTGGACGGATGAAGCAGCTCTGCCGAGTTGTCCTCTAATCTCCACATGAGTGTGTGGCCTGCACGCCTCTCCCCAGACTGTGCACACAACCGCAATAGTAAAGTATAAAAGTAAGTAAATAATTAAAGTGGTTAAGGGTCTGGGGAAACGGTCCAATGTTTTAAGAACATAAAATATCTGAGTTGCCCACACACCTACCTGTTAACCCCAGAGCTGTGAAGGGCAAGAACAAGAAGACAACTGGGGCTTGTTGGCCACCAACTTCAGTGAGAGACCCTTTTTCAAGGGAATAGAGTAGAGACAGAGCAGGACCCAACATCATCCTCTGATCCCCCCACCCATACATGGGCAGGTGCACTTCAGCACACATTTATGCATACAAAACACACATACATGCGTGCGCACGGACACACACACACACACACACACAGTGGTTAGGAAAGCGATGAAAGATTGGAATGTTGGGAAATCTTTTGTATTAGTTTTTGAGGTCAGGTTTTGTGTCATTCAGAATTCTTGTTTGACAATTAGTTACAACAAGGCGCTGAAGCCTGCATGTGTCTCAGATCTCTATGCTGAGGCTGAGGCAGAAGGATTGCTGGAGCTCAGCCTATGTGGTATGGGGCTTGACAATTAGTTACTGGCCTTGATAAAGATCATCAGACTTTGTTTGCATGTTGATTATAATCATGAAGTAAAAATATTCTGTAAAGTTACCTCATAGATGTGTTTACCACTTAAATTTTATTTCTACTATTTAAACACTAGATTTGACACTCAGTGTTTTGCCATTGTTTTCATCTGAAACAAACTTGGGCTTCATATCTTAAGGTATGGATGGAAATAAGTTTGTGTTGTAAATGAAAATGTTCTTTTCCAACTTCTGTGTTTGAAGTGAATCAACTTATCAACCCATAGAAGCAAAGATTATCCTCCATTTTAATAACAAGGTCACTAGCTATAGTAATATTTCTTCACTGCTTGTTCTTTTTTAGGATTTGTTAACCAGACATAAAGTATTGGTAGCGGACTTCTTAGAGCAAAATTATGACACCGTAAGTAAAGTCATTTTTAAGACTTCTTTCTTTTTCCTTCTTGTTTGTTACTCATGGCTGGCTGTTTAGATGGAACCTGCATATAGGTAGGAAATGAAGAAGACTTGGGGTCTGAGCTGACAGTCTCAGAGACTTATAGTTCTAAGACCTGAGAACTAAAGACCTGTGTCCTTTGAAGCAAGAAATTTGCAGGTCTAGATGACCAGGCTTGAGGCCTATGCCTCTGGGTTCAGATTGCCCATTGGAAGGAAGTGTGTTCAGCATAGATATCCGGTCTTGTCTGCTTTGGATGGGTGTTCTCCTCTTTGGCTGCTGTCACCCCACTCTGAGTCCTAGCCCCATATGGTGGCTGTAGTAGAAAATGTTTCTGCAGTAGATGGGTGTCACAAGGAAATGGAGATGGACCAGAAGGAAAGGCTGAGAGGGACAGTGGGAAAGAACCAGGACTCTGGCTCCACTGTATTTATATTTTAGATTCACAGTGAGCATAATTTGCCTGGTGAACATATTAATCTATAAAATGTCAAGTGTTGGTCTTCTTTTTGTTGCTGTGACAGAATAAAGAAGAATAACTTAGTTTATTTTGGAATATGGTTTCAGTCCATGGTCACCTGGCTCTGTTACTAGACCTATTGTGGGTCAGAGCTTCATGTGGAAAGCATGTGGCAATGGAAATATACTCACCCTATGGCAGCCAGGAGTCAGAGGAGGAGTCCAGAGACAAAATGTACCCTGAAAAAGCATGCCCCTGGGGTTGGAGGGGATGGCTCAGCAGGTTTAACATGAGGACTGGAGTTTGGGTCCTCAGAACCCACTTAAAAACTCAGATGGGCATAGCAGAACCCCAGCAATCTCAGTGCATAGGAGACAGAAACAGATGAACAGACGATCCTTGAGACAAGCAGACTAGCCACTAGCTGAACTGGTGAACTCTTGGTTCAATAAAATACTGTGTCTCAATATATACTGCAGAGCAATCAAAGAAGACAGCCATCAACGTGAACAAACATACATGTACACTACATACACACTCAGAGAGAGAGAGAGATCATGACCCTTAGTGGCATATCTCCTCCTAAAAATCCATTCAACTATGACTTTATCAAGAAATTAGTCTATTGATGAAATTAACCCTCTTATTAATAACCATTCTTCCTCCCCCCCCACCGGGGGGGGGGGGGCCCCCCCAGATTTCCAGTACATGTACTTTTAGGTAAAACCTCCGTAGCTGAGCTATAATGTTTTCCCTGCGTTCAAGAGAACAAAATGGCTTATGAAAGAGAATAGTGTCGTGACTTTAATCTGAGCTGCATACTTGTACTTCTCAATTCTAAATCAAAAGTTTTGTTGGGTATGCACATAAGCCTATCACTCAGCCGCCTGAGGCTGTCCTGTCCCTCTCTGTCCCTTAGGTTTTTTGCTTCTGGCTGTTTGTTCCTGCAGCTCTAATGTTCTCTGAATGATGTGCCCACAAATGGAGGGCAGTGGATAACAAGCTTCCCCCACTGCTGTGCTCTGTGCTCCCAAAGGCTCTAGCCCATGACCAAAGACTACACTGAGATGCAGCAAGATCCATGTCCCAGGGTCATAGCTTTTTGTGAGAATGGTGAAAGTTCACACAAGCCAATAGGAGTGACATGGTCACTGTCTAGCAATGGTCACCCAAGCCTCACCTGTTGATTCCTATTGACATTATGGATTTGACAGTCCTAAGCAAGCCCTAAGTATAGTTTACTCTTTTCCCAAAGTGTGGACCTGCAGCCTCCAAACTATAGAAACAGATTTCTTTAAAATGTGTTATCTTGAAGCTTTTAATAGATTTAGAGGATTCAAAATTATTCCATCTTTCAACTGAATTTCTGGTTTGTAGAACTAATGGTCAGCATGGATCCCATATGCCTTCAGTTTCCTGTCCTGGTCCTGTGTCCAGATGAGGAGTAAGCTGCTGAGCCCTCTGTGTGCAGCAGTGTTGGGGCTCGGTCTGAGGACCTCTGGAGGAGTGAGCACACTCCCGCTACAGAGGACACTGCTGCTCTTACAGACTCCTTTCTTCTTCTTAGGTCTTTGAAGAGTATGAGAAACTGCTGCAGTCGGAGAATTATGTGACTAAGAGACAATCTTTAAAGGTAATAGCAGATTTCCTTAAGTCCTTGTAAGCTGACATCTTGCTAGCAAACAGTGTCTACTCTGCATAAGTAAATACAGAAAATTCAGGGTCCTTCAGTTTGAGAAGTAACTCAACGGTTATGCTTTGTGCTCTGATTGAGCTTTGCCGCAAAATAATGGAAGTGTCCTACTTCGGATACTCTGGAAGCAACAACATGAATAATAAGTATATGCTGAAGTCAGATGTGGAGTATTTTACTTAGGAATATTACCAAACCTAAGTTGACATAATCAGAACCACACGGTTCTCTCCTGAGAATATTTTAGAGATGAAGAGAAAGAAGCTGGCCACAGTGACTGGGATGGAGGTGACTGTCGGGAAGACCTGTTAAAGCCCCTAGAAATCACGCCAGTGTACCTTACAACAGAAATGGGAGAATGAACCAATCCAGTGCCTCTGCTGCATCTCTGTGCAGGACACTCAGAGAAGTGACAATTCCAAAGTATAACACACAAAACACAAATATTTAAATTCCCCTCAATGCTTTTAGTTTGGAGATGATAAACCTAATGTTTTCGAATGGGAACAGCTCTTAGCTATGATACAGGCTTATAGAGTTGAAATATCATGGGGATTCTATATTAGGAGAAGCGTTTCTCCCCCAGGGTTGTAACTATTTTCCTGAAATACATTTGCTAACCACATTTCATTGTCAGAACACTTTTTATCAGCTAGTAATCCTGAATCAGCCATGCAGTTTGTTTACCTTCTAACTGCTGCGCAGCTCACTTGGGATGTCAGGATGGTGGTGACCACAGGATAGACAGTGTATATACTCTCAATATTCGATGCAATTTTAAAGTAAGGTAATGAACTAAGTCTGTTTTGTAATACTTCTCCATTTCTTCTCCTGTGGTTTGCGTTAGTCACACTGTGTTTCCCTTTATTTATGCTGTCATTGCCCCAGCTTCTGACTTAGTTGACATCAGTTTTCAGCCAGTCATTCAGCACTTGTTATTGAGGTTCCCCTTGCATAGAAACCAATGAAAGGTGACCCATTTAGAGAAACTTTGTCCTGTTCCGGAGCTCCTCATATTGAGGCCAAGGAACTGACCTTAGACAGAGCAGTGACCTCAGAACTGTTTTACTATGTCCAGAGATGTGCTGAAGCCCCCTGCTTAACTGTCACTACTGAAAGTTCTGAGACGAGGAATCTTTGTGTTTAGTTGTGAACTCCACTGGGTAGCTCCAAACCTGTGCTCACATCAATGGTCCTGGTTAAATGTGGAAAAGACCTTGTGGGGATTAATGGGGCTTAACAGGAGGGAGATGAGAGTAGGGGCTAAAAGTAACAGCAAAACAGTAAAAGTAACACAGAGTTGTCACCGAGCAAATTTAATTAGCAAGACAATCAAGATGTGCCCCAATGTCACAGCTTTAGACCCATCTAAGGGCAGAAGGACAGGCAGAGGAACTAAAGGAGAGAGGCGCTGGAGGGGAGCGGCCACGGGACTAGTAGAAAAAGTGAGAGTGCCCTCAGACCAGCATGAGAGCTGCCTGAGAGCAGTGGTTCTCAGCCTGGGATCACAGCCCCTTTTGAACTGAACAGACCACTCATGGGGTTCGCATGTCAGATACCTACACTGTGATTCCTAACAGTAGCAAATAAAGAGTTATGAAATATCAGGAAAAATAGTTTTATGGTTGGTCACCATGACATGAAGAACTGGATTAAAGAGTCACAGCATAAAGAAGGTTGAGAACGGCTGCCTTTGATATTTCCCAAGTTCCTCTTTGTTTGTTTGTTTGTTTGTTTGTTGAGACAGGGTTTCACTGTGTAACTCTGTCTGTCCTGGAACTTGCTTTGTAGACCAGACTGGCCTCGAATTTACAGAGATCTGCCTGCCTCTGCCTCCCGAATGCTGGGATTAAAGGCGTGCACCACCATCGCTCAGCCTCAAGTCCCTTTTGTCAGTGTGAGGCTGACAGATACTGAGCCACAGTAGAGTTTGTATGACACTGAGTGATTGAACCAAATTAAAAGAGGAGGTCTTTGGACTTTATTCTTGGTCTTAAAATTTTATCCTCAAACCATTTTCAACAATGACCAGAAACCAGACCAAGCCTTTCCTGTCGCTGAGACCTCAGGCCCAGTCAGAAAGCTCTCCCCCTGGCCTGTCTTGCCCTTTCTTTCTACCAGGTTGTCTCCCCACCCACCTCTCCATTTTTTTTTCTCTACCTGGCTTTGCCCCATCTCGTCCTCTTTTCCTGTCCATATTTTAATAGATTAGAGCAGAGCCTTACTTGTTGTAAGAACATACTGGCTTTTTAATTTATTTGTTTATTTTTATAGTACGGGGGATGGAACCCAAGGGCCTGGGTCAATAAGCTCCACTGAGCTCCATCCCTGCCCAGAAGTATGAACTATAGGTATTTGTTCAATGAATCAAACTAAGTTCTTCAAGCAAATATTGCTAGTCATGAACCCTAGAATTCACCTTCCTCAGAGTTCGGTCTCCAGAAGGGTCCAACAATATTCTGTTGGTATAACTGGGATTGGTGGGCTTATGAAACTGGTTCCAACAGTGCACGTCTGCACCCAAGTGTAGAACCTACCCATCCAGCACCTGAGTGATGATGTGGGATCCCCCCGTATGCTGTGGTTACCATTAATGAATAAAGAAAACTGGCTTGGCCTGATAGGGCAGAACAGAGGTAGGTGGGGAAAACCAAACTGAATGCTGGGAGAAGGAAGGCGGAATCAAGAAAGAAGTCATGCAGCCCCACCGCAGACAGATGCCAGAACTTTACGTGGTAAGCCACCGGCACGTGGCCATACACAGATTAATAAAAATAGGTTAAATTCATATATAAGAGTTAGCCAATAAGAAACTAGAGCTAATGGTCCAAGCAGTGATTTAATTAATACAGTTTCTCTGTTATTATGTCGGGGCTAAGCAGCCAGGAGCTAATTAGTAGCCTCCTTCCAACAGAGTGATGGACAGCAGAGTGTGCAAGAAGCTCTCTGTCCTTGTGGCCTCAGTGCCCTTCCCCTGCTCAGAGGTTGTCCACTCAAGCCTGGAGCAGACTTTTGCACCTAGTTCAGAAACACCTGTAACACTCCCTTTCCTACTGATTTACAAATGTTCCTGTGTACCCAAGAGCATTGTTAATCTCCCGAGACCTGCTTTTCTTGTCCGAATTCCTTTCTAGACCAGGTATCTCAAATTTGGCGGACACACATGATAAAGTCGAGCATTGCTTGATGGGACGGTGAGGAGCAGACTAAAGTGTGTGTCAACACACAGAGCTATGAAAGGGCAAGTTGGCTTCCGAGTGCTGGCTTGTAAGGCAGGGATGCTGCTAAAACAGTGCTGCGTCTGCCGCCCTTGCAAGGGAGCTGGAGGGTGGAGGACTGAAGTGGTCCAGTGTCAGCATCAAGCTTACTCAGCCTTGCTGGCTCCTCTCTCAGAGAAAAGTGGTACTCTGGGGAGCTCTGCTGACGCCAGCGTGATTTTTCCTTTGAGGAATCAGATGTATGGCCACAGTAGCTGCTGTCCCTGTAACCACATTTACAAATACGGACCCTGTAAGGTTGTGTCTGTGATGTCCCATAGTTGTAGGAAATGAGAAGTGAAATAGTTGCAGGGGCAAATAGCTTCATCGTCTAAACTGGCTGAAGTGCTCAGTCAGTTTCTGGTTCCAAAGCGTTGGCTACCCACTGCCTTTTGTCAATCATGTTCTAAAGTTTCCTAGACTTTGTTGGTCTTGGAATGCTTAGACTCCTGGGCCAAGAAAAAGTAATTAAGAGAGAGATTCTTTTCCCTCATGTGCTGGAGCTTAGGAACTTATTTCTGACCTTCTTCAGAAGCCTGGCATTTAATTACTAGCAAGAAAGATTGTAATTAAAAAGAAGCTTGGTGGAATTTTTTGGTGCTTTGGTCAATTTCATTAAAATAGCATGTTTTGGAGGAGAACCTCTTAATTACACTAGCTACATGATTAAGTAAAATGCGGATGTGTTCCCTTTACTTAGAATAATACTGCTTTGTGGTGTGTTGTATTGCCCTACTGTGCTTCACCAATGTCCTTGTCACTACTGATTAAAGTAGATTGTCAGTTAATGGCCAAAAGACTTTAAAAAACTAAACATACTGTTCACATGTTAATTAACACAAAGCTTGCATAAGCATGGCCACCTAAAATAGAAGAATAGAGAAATATTTATTGCCTGCAGCACTAAGGACAACATGGGAGTCATTCCAAAGTAATGCCCTAATTACTAATTCCAAAGTAATGTTGAGTTAGAGATATAAGCTACGCATATCCATGAATATCCATGTAGGAAATCACTTTAGGGGTGGGTGTACTACTGAGCATGCTTAATTAAAAATGCATTCCTGAACATGCTTATTTTAAGGACAGCTAGTGATAGCAGTTTTGGAACACATTGAGCTCAAGGTCATGGGTATTTTGTGTGTCTGTGAGAGAGAGTATAGGATTCTGGAGACACAGGGCCCTGAGCGTGCTGTGCAAGTGATCCTCCATCTAGCTATACTCCCGCCCTTTGCTTTTTCAAGTCAGGGTTTCCTCAGGGAGCTTAGGCTGACCTTGAACTTGTTTCCTTAAGTGTACCACACACCTGGCTAAAGTTGTAAGCTTGTATGAGCAGAAAATAAAATTAGAATTACTTAATCCAATTGAAGTCATAAATGGAACCTCAACAAATCCTTACTGAAGAATCAGTATAAATTTTTATGTAAAAAAATTTTATAGTATACTTATTGTATGTAGTATGGGGGCTTCTAAAGATTAATTTACATACTAGTATATCATACATTTAGAACATTCTCATTTCTCTTCTTCCTCTAGTTCCCTCATTTTCCCAGTCTTGACTTTCCTCTCCATGGTATATGTGCATATGATTTTCTATATCTGTATAAATGGGAGAAAACAGGAGATTTTTGTCTTTCTGATCTGTTTTGCTTAGTGTGGAGATCTCCAGTTGTTAACAACTTACTTCTAGCAAACAACTTACTTTATTCTTTTTTATGACTAAATGAAATTCCACCGTAGAGGGATTTTGTAGTTCAGTTGGTAGAGTCCTTGCCTAATGTGCACAAAACTCTGAATTCAGTCACCAAGAGTACATAATCCAGATGTTAGGACACATGCCTGTGACCCTAACACTAGGGAGGTAGATCAGAATTTCAAGGTCATCCTAACTACATAGTGTGTTCTAAGCCAGTCTGGGCTATGTGAAACATTTCTCAAAAAAAAAAAAATCAATTGTATATGTGTATCATATTTTCTTCATTATGTACCGAATAGAAGAATGCACCCTGTATAAAATCACCAGAGACCCCAGATAGCCAAATCTAAAGAATTGCCTGTGTAAAAGGAAGGAAGTCAGAGGAATCATTGAACCAGATTCCAAGTTATTCTGAAGAGCTATCGTAATGACAACAGACACGTGGATTCATAGAATGGGGAGCGGACAAAGAAACAAAGCCACACAGTTAGAGATAAAAATGAAATAAAGCCACATGGTCAGAGATTCCCTTTGTCACTTGTGTTATGTTTGTGTCACATTATTTTATTGTGTGCTTGCCAGGGAGAAAAGTAGATAGTTTTAGTGCTGAAAAGCCGTTGCTGGCTTGACAGTCAGGGCTGCTGTATCTTGAAGGCTGAAGAGCCCTTTGCCCTAATTTAGTTCAGGAAGGCGACACTCTTGTCTCCCTCTCCAGGGGTGCTTGGAATGAGAATTTCTCATATAGATTCAGGATACGTGTTTGTTTAGTTTTTGGCCTTGGATCTGGTTTTATAATAAAAGTCGGTGGTTAAAAACATACATTGCACCAGGCTGTGGTGACACACCCCTAGCACACTACCTCAGCAGAGGCAGACAGCTCCAGCACCCTGCTCTGATCTCTCTAGGCACCAATCAAACATACACTACATATGCATACAGTCAGGCAAAACACCTACACATAAAATAAAACACATCTGATTTTTTTTAAAAAAAAATTAAATCAAGGATCAAATAAGACTTCCTTACCATGAAAGCCTTCAGCAAACCAGAAAGTGCGTTCATGCAGCCGTTTTGTTACTTGTGTTCTCAGAGCAGTACATGGCTGGGAAGCAGGGTGATGGCCGCAGATGAGGAGCAGGCTGTCTCTTAGTATGCTGAGCAGTGAGTGACTGAAAAACTGCTTCAAGAACTAACGATAAATAATAATAATTTCGTAACCAAGCCATACGAAAGCTTAACGAAATTGCAACAATACCATTTTCAGGCCTGACTGGTTGATTGTTGATATCTCTCGGTTTGTCTGTTTGTGTTTGTTTGAGATAGGGTCCCACTGTACTCACTGGTCTGCACAAAACTCTGGATTCAGTCACCAAAAGTACATAATCCAGATGTTAGGACACATGCCTGTGACCCTAACACTAGGGAGGTAGATCAAAATTTCAAGGTCATCCTAACTACGGAGTGTGTTCTAAGCCTGCCTGGGCTATGTGAAACATTTCTCAAAAAAAAAAATCAATTGTATATGTGTATCATATTTTCAATATGGACTCAAGTGTTCTTCCTGCCTCCACCTGCTGAGTAGCTGGGGCTGCAGCAGGTGCCCTGCCGCTGTACCTGGCACACACCTGTCTGTCATTTACGGTGCTTCACGACTCTTCAGACCAGCCTTGGGTTTTGATTCCATCCTGATGAGCTGTATTTGAAGAGTCGAATAATGGCTTTGGCTTTGTGTCTTGCAGCTGCTAGGCGAACTAATCCTGGACCGCCACAATTTTGCCATTATGACCAAGTACATCAGCAAGCCAGAGAACCTGAAACTGATGATGAACCTACTCCGCGACAAAAGTCCTAACATCCAGTTTGAAGCCTTCCATGTCTTTAAGGTAAAGAGCTGATACCTGACTGTGTTTTTCTTCAGCTGTGAGATGGCAAAGTACCTGTTTTTTTTCCTTTCCTTTACTTGGGAGAAAATGAGATAACCCTTTTGTTTTGCAAACTTAGACTATATTCTAATCTAATTGCAGAAAACCAGTGCTTTGGTTCTAGCCACAACTGGGCAAATTTAAATTTGCCTCTGGTCTTTACATAGAACTTTAGAGAAGTTTGACATCTGCAACAAGCTGACCCAACTGCAGAGGGTCTGCCATCCAGTATCATGCAGTAAGATAAGCAGTTGTTTTCAAATTAACATCCACTGAAAAGTAAATGATGTTTGACCTGCCTGGTAAAGGCCTCTTTAGTATTCACTAGAAGCCAAGAGGATGGGGAAATTCAGCAAGGCCAAGCTTTGTGGCTCTGCCACCATACTTAGCAGCTCAGTGCTTTCCTCATACGACCGGAGAGATGGCTCATAGGTTAAGCACTGGCTGCTCTTCCAGAGGACCCGAGTTCAGATTCCAGAACCCATATGTGGTTGCTCACTGCCATCTGTAATTCCAGCTCCAGGGGATTTCATGCCTCTGGTCTCTGGAGGCACCTGCAGTCATGCACATGCCCATATGGAGACACACATACCTACACATAATTAAAAAGAAAGACTTATTTCCCCCACAGATTACAAGTGTGATCCGAGAGTAGCTAGAATGGAAGACCTAAGTGCTGCTGCCTTCTGCTTTCGCCAGTCTCCTCTCTGACCCCGAGGGACGTCCTGAGGCTGTGCCCAGCTCCCAGGGCTCGTTTGTTACTGCTTTAGAAATGGGAGTCTTTTTTCTAACATTGAGTAATAAGACTATCCCCTGAAATTTTAGATAATAGACTTAAATCTATACAGATAGAAGGTAAAAGTTAGTTTGTCATCCTGGACTCCTAACTACTGTGGACACATGTCCTTTGGCTGTATTGGCATTATCCCACTGATATATCCTAGTTCATCACATCATGCTGTGCCATACGTGAACATTTGTGCCATGTGTAATGTTGGACCAGTAGACATCTTCCTTAGTCCTTGGGCATTTTTATTCTAGTCTGAATGGCCCTGAACGGTGGCTAACTAATTGCATTTCTTACTACTATAAGGTGTGTTGCAGTTCACACTCTGCATCCGGCCAGCTTTTGCCAGGTTCAGGTTGTTTTCTCGAAGTTGATGTGTAGAGTAGACATGAAAAGCTCAGTGAGCTCCAAGAATTTTTGGTCTTAAAGGTGTATGTTCAGGGACAGAGTTCTTTGTCTTTTAGTGGAGAACATAGCAGTTTATAAGGCTGTAGTTGCTTTGACAAGTTAGAAACTTAGTATTTCTAGATATTTCCAGATATTTTCCAGGAAGCCACTAGAATAATTAAAATGTTAACTTAAAATTTTTATTTATTTCCACAATTGACAAGCTGATTTTTTTTTAATTTGAAAACTTGACTCTGCCTAGATTTATAAATTGCAGGCCCAGAGGAAAGGTGTGGGGACAGGGGAGGTGTCCAGCAGTTGCACTGTGGTTGAAAGCAGGCCAGGCTAGCGATGTACAACTTGTGTGTCTGAGGTGCCGCGCGACATCTTACTCTACACTCTTCTCTGTGTTAGAACTGTCTCCTGAACAGTAAGCCAGCAGTGAAACAAAGAGTGAGCGTGTGGTTCCGGGAAACTCCCAAGTGGCCGAGAGCGGCAGACGAGCCTCAGACTCTCCTGAGGAATGACAGCACAGAAAGCCCTGTGCCAGGCCACCCTGTGCCTGCGGGTGTGCACCCATCAAACGAGATGAGATCTGCTGTCATCTCATCTTGTTCAGAAATGCATAAATGTAGGAAGATTTAGTATGTGGCCAACCAGAAATGGCCTGCTCCTGTCCTCGGACAATCTGAATTTCATTTCCCTAATCAGTTGACAGAGTAGGAACATTTAAAAGTGTTGACCACTGTTTGCTTGTGTGTGTGAACTGGGCCTACCCTGCACCTCAGCTTGTTCTTCCGCTCAAGCATGACTTGTTTACTTCCCCAAAATAATTTTTTGCTATTTAGAAAAGCAAAAGTCCCAGACCTTTTCAGTTTTTTATGAATAGGTGCCCTCCCCTCAAAGGGTCCTCTGTAGAGCTACACAGAATCTGGGACAGGCTCCTGGAAATGCCTTCGCAGGCCGGCAATGCCAACCCCATTACCTGGCTGAGTTCAGGGATCCTGTGCAGCTCCACTTCAGGACGGCCAGGGCCCTGGACAGTGCAGCTGCAACATGGGAAATCCTGGGGTGAGAGTCAGGAGAAGCAGTCTGGGTTGTGCACCAGTGCCAGCGGAAGGCATGGCATATCCACCTGCTTTTGTATTTGAAAATGAAGTGCTTACATTAAAAACGAAGTTACTGAGCTCTGAGGCCTGTGTCTTTGTATCCTTGCTGTCCCAGAAAAGAACTTGAGCCGCTGTTAGCTCACCTCTCCCCGCTCCGTTCCTTTCCAGTTTCCCCAATAACAATGCCACTTCCCACCAAACCTTGAGAGGGGTTTGCCTATGATGTGGACTCACCCCTAAAGCCACTGGAACTCAGATATGGCCAGTGAGTGACAAGAGCAGTCCTGCATACACCATGCTTCACTCAGTCCCCTGTTACTACAGACGGACATGTGTATGAAAACGTCGGGTACAGAAGGCAGCCTGACAGTCCAGCGGAAAGTTAGTGCACAGTGCCTCTGGACAGGAGTAGCTTTGCCACCAGTAGCTCTGGAAGGAATGCCAGACCATAGGTCAGCTGCTGAAGGGCCAGCCATGAACCACTCACTTCCTTGAGGACAACCTCCCCCAGAACACCTGCTCTGCTGGCAGCAGCTCCAAGGACATTCCTGGACTAAGTGAGCTGGAGAACTGGCGATGATTTACTAATGTCCCATATTGTAACAGTACCTGAAGGCTTGTGCATTTGGGCGTGGTGGTGCATACCTGATCCTCTTAGCTCCTCCAAAGGCTGAGACAGGAACAGTCGCCTGAGTCCAGGTGTTTGGTGCCACCCTAGGCAGCTAGTGAGACACACAAACTGTTTATAGTACTGCTGGTTTAATGTTTCAAGGCACGCTTTTAAACAGTGAGTGTTCGACTTCACGCTGTCCTCATTTGGTGTTGCTTGACTCCGTTCAGTTACTAACACAGGCAGAGCAGGGAAGTGAGAACGCGCAGTCAAGACGCTGCTTCTTCCTATTTAAAACATGCTTCCCTTAAGAGATTCATAAAAGGTTTTCTCTGCAGTGTGTGTGTGTGTGAGAGAGAGAGAGAGAGGGGTGGGGAGGGAGGGAGGAAGGGAGACAGAGAGAGATTGATTTTTAAGAAACAAAAAACATAAAGTAGAGTGGATAGGATCTGGGAAGAATTGGGGGGGGAAATAAATTCAGAGTATATTTTATAAATTTTTCAGCAACAACAAAAAAGAAATTCCTAATGTGAAAGCAGAGCATATAGCTTAGTAGGGTTCTGCTTGGTGTTGTGGAAGTACTCAGAGCGTCCTAAAACATTTTTAGGGGAATAAAAAGTGAAGCCTGTATTTAGTACCTGTAATGCAGAATAAGAAAATAACCATTTTTCTCTGTACTGGAAATTGAGCCCAGGACCTCATGCATGCTTAGCTATTACTCTACAACCCAAGTAGGCTTCAGTGCTAGAAAATTTTAGGTGGCTTTTGATATAATTTTGAATTGGATACATAATCTACATTATTTCCCCAGTTGTGTGAAGTCTCCAAGATGTATCTGAATACCTACCTAGTCAAGGGCAGTACTGGCAGGGCATCATCTGTGTTGGCAGTGCTTTCCCCAGCGGAAGATGCCTCTCGCCCTCCTAAAGTTAGGCAGGTGGAGGACCCTCATTTTGTGACTGAGGAAGCTGTTTGTGTGGGAGATTCAAGGACAAGTTTATTAGCATACATTCTCCACTGCACCTCATCTCCTAGCTGTGGGGCTTTAGTGTGACACTGGGTATTTGGGAAACAACTGTGTGGTTTGGTGACAATTTAAGAAAGGAGATAAATAATAATGTAGTCAGCAATTACTGTGTGAGGGTGACTGCCAAATGTATGTGAGCAGGAATTGCCTCCATTAATCCTTCTCAAAACTCAGCAATGTTTTGACAATAAGCGTGTGAGGAACTACTGCAGCCGCAGCATGACCAGGTCACGAGAACACTGTGCTGGGTTACCTATTGTCATTGATTAGACTGTCTATTGATAGGAGGTAGGTGGCGGGGCGGGGGGGGGCACAGTAGATGTGACTGCTGGTGAGTGTAGGGCTTCTTTGGGGTGACAAAAGTATCTTAAAGTTGAATGTGTTGACACACAATTCCTTGACCATACTAGAAATCATTGGGATATAATTTTTAAATGGACAGACTACATGGAATATGAATTATGTGTCGATATGATTGGTTCTAAAACCTTTAAAACCTAAATGGCTTGCAAGTCATCAGAAAGCCTCATATCCGTTCAACAGACTTGCAAGGCTTGATTTATATGAGTCAAATTAATATATTCTATATCTCTAAGTAAATTCCTAGAGACATCCAAGGACAATATGAAGAAAGCTGAACAAACTTGAGAAGGAAGGTCAGAGGCACTCCGGTTCTCTTGCCCTGCTCTTTGCTTTTGAAGCTGTTTTACAGAAGTGTTGTGACCATACACTTCACCTCCCTCTCCTTGCTCTCGTCTGTGGGTAAGAGCACGCACTTTAAACCAAAGGCGTGCTCTGCTTGCATGTGGCACAGCTCTGGCATGGCACCAGCAGTAGCCATCACCTGTACCAGTGCTCTGAGCCTCACCTAGAGAGCACAGCAGTAGCCATCACCTGTACCAGTGCTCTGAGCCTCACCTAGAGAGCACAGCAGTAGCCATCACCTGTACCAGTGCTCTGAGCCTCACCTAGAGAGCACAGCAGGCAGTCTCTGCCCAGCCCCACCCTCTCCCTATAATGATGAGAGTCTACGGCATATACAAGTCAGCTAGCCAATTCCCAGTGAGTCCACCCTGGCTTTGTTCAAGTGGAGACAGCTCTGGAGTATACAGAGACTCTGTGATGAAGGCTTGTAAAGGCTTGTAATAGTCCAGCTGACCAGGAAGATCATGAGTTCAAGACCTGCCTGGGTTATAGAATGGTTTCAGAAGCAGCCTGACCAATGTCGTCCCAAAAAGCAAAACAGGGCTGGCATGTGTGTGACCAAAGGCAGAGGGCTTGACTATAATGTGTGAGGTGTTACCTTCAACCCCTGGTACCGCAAAAACAAAACAAAAAAGCAAAAATGCAGATTGATAGAACAGAGTACATACCCATGTGTAAAATAATGCAAGCTCAGTTTTCTTTAAGATAAAAACTGCGTAAGCCTTTCTTCGTAGTGAATCTGTCTGAGTGGAGGAGTTTAGAGGAGTGAGTTAGTATTTTTTATTGTGGTGCTGGGATGTAACCCGGGGTTTTACAAGATCTCCGCCACTGTAGCTGCTCTACTTACTTCACGTGTCATTTCCCTGGTTTCTCTCCTCATCACAACGAGAGAGCAATGACAGAACAGTGTCTCCGTTGTGGGCGCTCTGGGAGTTAATTTCCAGCCTGCTGGCCTCTGCCACCCTCGCTTCCTGCCTTGGTGTTCAGGGAGTCTGGTCATCCATGGCATGGCACCTCCCTTGTAGAGCTTGGCCAGTCATTCTGTAACAGAAGCAAGCTAGCCGTCTCTAAGATCACCAGTTTGTGTGTGTGTGTGTATGTGTGTGTGTGTGTGCACGTGCGTGTGTGTGTGCGTGTGTGTGCGTGCATGTGTGTAAGAATGGCTACTTTATTTTTACTTCTATGGAATGGACTTGTACATGGGCAGCTCCATGTCACATGTACAAAGTCCTCCTGTGCCTCATCAGCTCCAATCCTTCCTGGTGAAAAAAAAAATTTGGATGAGATCAGTGAAGGTGTATGCAAGGCTTAATATTCATAAGAAGCATTCGAATCTAAAATAAAGAATAAAATATTTTGTTTCCTGAATTAAATATTTGAATGTGGCTACTGCCTTTTCCTCTGTGCTTGAAAACTCCATAAATTACATTTCTGAGACCTGTCATGTAAACTGAGGGATGCAGGCCATGAGACAACAATCCAGAACACAACAGGCAGTTTTCAAGTGTTTACATTGGTCTAGCGGGACTTTGAAAATCGCACATATTTTAGGATGGGAGCTACAACGGCTATTCTGTACACATCAGTCAGCAGTGAGCTCCCACCCTGAAGTCTCCTACACGTCACCTTGTGGTCCTGCCACCCCACCAGTAAAGCCTTAGACAGTGGCAGTGTGAGAGTCTAGTGACAACTGCCTTCTGAACAGAGGGCTCGGGAGTCATCAGCAGAAATACAAGGGACAGTGTTGAAGCTTTCAAGCCTCCTGAAGGTTTCTGCAGGTTTGCGTCTAGGGTGTGTGCTCTAGAGTTCCTCCAGCATGCCTGCCTGGTTTGTCCAGTGCGCTAGTCTCGCTCCTTTGTAAGCAGTGCTTCTGTGAGTTATTTCTGTAGTTCCCACAGAACGCCAGGCCCTTTGTAGTGAGAACTTTAGCGGCTCTCCTATAAACAAATGTTAACCAGAAAAGGCCAGAGAGTGACTGGCAATTCCTACCACACTCACGGGTATTGTGTGAACAAGACTGGAATGCCTTTTCTGTAAGTAAATTTTAGTTTATTGTAGCAAAAGCCATGTCTATAAAAATTCATATGTCGACTGTTTGAAAGGGCAGAGCTGTGCTTACAGTTGTCACCCCCACAGATTATGTCAGTGTTCCAGCACCCCTGAAGGAAACCCTGTGCACTAGGCAGTCTCTCCATTCCTTTCTCCGCTACACTTGGAAGCCACCAGGCTGCTCTTCACTCTGTGGGTCCGCCTGTTCTGACAGTTGTATGCATGGAGTCAAATCCATGTTGTGTCTTGTTCAGCACATTGTTCCTTGTGATGTCCATGGCGGACCCCACAGCGTGGGTATCATTCATCTGTTGATTGGTACTCAGGCTGTTAACACTTGGGCTGGTGACTGCTCCTGCTGTCAGCACTGAGCACAGGTGTTATTTGGACATTCCTTTTCCCTGTGTTGGCAGCATGTTTGGGTCACACGGTCACTTGCTGCTTAGCTGACCAGGTAGATGCCAGACTTTTCCATGGCAGCTCCACTATGTGCATTCCAGTTTGCAGTGTCTCCTGTGCTCAGCACACATTTTCTGTTTGATATGTCAATGCCTGTACATCCTACTGCAGTGTGACCTGCATTGCCCTATCTCTTTTCTTGTGGATTACTGGTCACTTTTATTCCTCAAGTCCTTTGCTCCGAGGATATATTATGCCTTGTTGAGTTATATAGTTCAGATGTGAGATCCTTAAGATTATGACCTGCAGATCCTTTCTCCCTCCGTCTTAACAGGGTCCTGTATCCCAAAGAGTTAACTTCAGAGCCGCTCCTCTGATGGGTAGGGTCATGAGTGTGTCCTCTGTTGTTTTCTCCAAATGTCTTAGTAGCTCTTAAGAGTCCTTTGGTTCATTTTTAATAATTTTTGTGTAGGGTTTGAGGTGAGGACCCAGCTTCATGCTGTAATATTTTTTATCTGAAAAGTGTTGAACTTTGTCAAATTCTGAAAAAATTGAGCTGACCGTGTGGTTTTCCTGCATTCACTCAGTGTGACATCAGCTTGCTAGGGCATGACAGAGCACTAAGAGCAGAATGTATTCTCTCCCACTTCCGCAGACCAAAGTCCAAGGCTGAGGTACCAGTGAAGTCGGTACTCGAAGGCTTCGAGGAGAATCCTTAGGTCCTCTCTCCTAGCTTCTGGTGCTTGCCAGCAGTCTTTCCTCGTGGGCACATCAGTCCATTCCTCTCTGCGCCCATGTACCTCTGTATCTGAAATTCCTTGTTACCAGTCATGAGATTGGGGTCCTTTAACCCAGTATGACGTCATCTGAGCCTGATGAATCTGTAACGTTCATGTTGCCACAGAAAATGACACCTTCAGTGCTGAGGGTCGGGCTGTAAATGAATCTGGAAGGGGAACACAGTACACCTGGTGTTTCACTGTCTTACGAGGAACTAAGTTTTACTTGGTCAACTAAGTTTTATTTGGTCGCTCTGTACGATTCTGTTAATTGCCTTTTCATTCATAGGGATATTGACCTTTGAGAGCTCGCTTTGTCTGGCTTTATGTCAAGGTATTGCTGTCCTCATAGGATGGGCTAGGAATGCTCCTCCTCCTTTGAAAAATTGAAGAAACACTACATTCATTTTTTTCTTTAAATGGTCGATAGAAATTTTAACAGTTGAAAGTCAGCTGTCCTGGGCTTTTCTTTGTTGTGGGTTTTGGTTAGGTTTGCTGAAATTTTCTATTTCTTGAGGAATTTAAATATCTTTCTCAGCTATCTGTGGTGGTTAATATTGCTTGTCCACTTGACAGGACCTAAATAACTGAAGAGACAAGGCTCTGGGGACATCTGTAAGGAACTACCTAGATCAGTTTGCCTGAGGTGGGAAGCCCCACCCTAAATGTAGGCAGTGTCTTCCTGTGGGCTGGAGTAAGGGACTGGGTGAGGAGGGGACAGGAATGCTGGCCTCGCAGAGACCAGGAGCTAGGCATTATCTGGACTGGCCCACTGCTCGTCGGCTTTTGTTTCAGCAAAGTTGCTAGCAGTGCTTCACTCTAAGTTTAACCTTTCAGAACCCGGCTCCTAACAGTCTAAGCAGAGGCTTGACAAAGTGCTTCATCTCACGAGCCAGTTTCTGGCTTAGTCATTTCTCTGTGGGTTTTCTCTCCTCTGCCTCGCTCCTTTGTTTATTGCTTTGATTCACTGCATTTCCTAGTTTCTTAAAGTGTGAAGTTAGCGCTCTTCAGAATGTAGGCATTTACAGCCACGATTTGCCTGCCTGAGTGCTGTTTCTCACATTTTCATTTTCACTTGTCTTAAGGTGTTTACTAATCATCACCTTTGTGCTTTCTTTGCTCTGGTAGCTAGGAGGAACCTAAGATACTGTGTAACCAGGAGGCCCAAGGCTGATTCTTGTCACCCATGGTTCTGGACCTGCTGGGTAGAAGTCTCAGGAGCCTCTTCCTGGACTGTGTGGGCCCCTGGCCCTCTAGGGATTGAGTCACTGTGGGTAGCAGTGCTAGAGACTGTTCCGTTACGAGCCGTAAGGACCAGGGAGACCATGGCCTTCTCGAGGGAGCCTGTGCTGCTTCCTCCTGCTGAGGAAGCAGATGCTCCAAGGCTGGTGATGAAGGAAACAAGCAACAAGGATTATTGAGTCATATTCCTGTCACTGGCCTGTGAATCATTCCAGAAAGACATTGCTCAAATGTTTCCCTCTGTTTTAGGTGTTCGTGGCCAGCCCTCACAAAACGCAGCCTATTGTGGAGATTCTGTTAAAAAATCAGCCCAAACTCATTGAATTTCTGAGCAGTTTCCAGAAAGAAAGGACAGATGACGAGCAGTTTGCTGACGAGAAGAACTACCTGATTAAACAGATTCGAGACTTGAAAAAACCAGCCCCGTGAAGATGAACCCTACCCTGGCAGCTGTTTGTCTCCCTTGCCCAATGTGTTCAATGCTGTTTCAACAGTTTCTATTCTTGGGGAGGCTTTGGAGGTGCCTGTTTCCTCAACTGATTGTTCAGGGTAGATGGAATATAAACATTTGAATGGGGGAAAAAAATCAATCTAGAATAATATATTCATTTTAATCAAATCTCTGATTGCTTATATGGAATCAGCCATTATATTAAACATTGATAAAAGCAAGAGTAATTCCAGAGCTGGACCCTGGATCAGCCAGGCCACCAAGTAGAAGGATCACAAGTGTCTCTTGGGACAGAACAGGGAGGGAACCCTGTCTGTGTGTATTCATTTAGACAGGATTTTTCAGACACCAAAGAGACAGGAGGTGGGGCTGTATGTGTGTACACTTTGACCTCTGCCTGCCACCTCCAGTAAGTGACTCCTGGCTTCCGGAGGAACAGTGCTCAGTTTCTGCTCGCTGTCCCTCATTGTGTCCCAAGCCTGATCCAGGGCTCACGCCCATTCCCACTGTCGATGGCTAGCCTGGGAGCGACTGAGGACCAGGGGAGATCAGCGAGGGCCACAGGGGCAGAGAGCATCCATGGGTGTGACTTTCAGAGGAGAGATGCAGACAGGTGGCTGTAGAGTCCACTGCTCTGTGCGCCCCTCAGGAGGGTCAGTGAGTGTGGGGGTATTTCACTAGCATCTGTTGTCGTGGGAAGAAGGCTTTGTGGTAACTGGAGAGGTGGGAGTCATAGTGAATGCAAGCCGTGGGGCCAGAGGGCTGTGGTTGGCTTTCATCAGTAGAGGGAGACGTGATTCATGCATAAAACTTTCTCAGATGACTGAAGGTTCTCTCTCATCCAGTTTGTTCTGTAATAAACTGCACTCTGTAATTGCCCACCGGTGTCTTCCATGAGAAGCTAAAAAGCCTGAAAGTGTTGCTCCCAGACACCCTCTTGTGTGCTAGAGTAACTGAGGCGCCCATCCGTGCCCCCACAGGCATAGAAAGAAAAATTAATTTAAGTCCATGATTTGCTTTCAGACCTCAAACCTCTGAAAGGGAATTTGAAAGTGTTATTTTCCAGACGCTAATGCTGCGATTGCTTGTCTGCTCTCCATTGCCCGAGTTCCCATGGCCCTTAACTGCTGAGAGACAGGAAGGGAATGTATTCTCCAGTGCAAATGCCTCTAGTGGGTTTTCCATCCAGAGAATTCCCTGGCAGGGCCCTTTGCCTTCTGCCCGGGGTTCAGGTATATTGCCTCCGTGCAGCCCCTGTGACCTGTGTTCTTTAGTCATAGGAGTCAGATTATTTTTATAATATTCCCTGATCGTATAGAGCCCCTTAGAATTTGACCTTTCTGGATTTGCTTATTTGATTAAAAGAGATTAAAAAAAAAAAACTTTTAAAATGTGTTTCTGTAGCATCATGGAACACGGACAAGGCCATGTACTAATTTTATTTCAGTTAAGAACAAGTATTTTCCCTGCATTTGAATTGACTCACTCCCAGCATCCCTTTCCCAAGGCTGTGTGCCTGCCCAGTGGGAAACTGTACTGCTTGAGATGCTCCGCAGTCAGTGAGGTGGCCGGGGTGTTGGTTTGAATTTGTAGGTTATTCGCTCCAAAAGGGCACTGGAGCTCCCTCACGATGTGCGCACACACTGTAAGACTGGAGTTTGGAAAAGGTCACATTTAATAAGAAGCACAACTTAAAGACTGAATAAAAGCACCACACACTCTGTTGGTCTTGTTCCTCTCTCTTTACCCGTGCGGGTTCTGTTGGATTCTTGTCCTGTCTCCAAACAGGAAAGGGCCCAGGCCAGGAGTACCCCAGGGCCACACTGAACCCCCCAGTGCTACCATCCAGTACACTGAACACAACAGAGACCCTATCTGCATCCCCTGACCACGCACTAGCCACTGTTGTAGCCTCCTCAGTTAGGAGCCATTCCCATCAACAGATGTGGAAGTCGTAAGAAGAATGTTCCAGACCTAGGGTGGGACATGCCACACAGGCGTGCGGAGTGACCTGAGAAAGGCCGTGGTGTTGGAGCTACGTGGTGCTCTCCTGCTGAGACCTGGGAGGTTCTCAGTGTCAGGGTCTTGGAATGCAGCCAGTGGGGATTGAGATCACAATGTTCTTGGATGCGGCTCTTGGCTAAAGCCAGGCATCTGCCCAAAGTTAGGACTGTTCTTGGAGAAAAGGCCGGGAAGCAGCACACGCCCCTCGTAAATGTTCTTGACTCCAAGCCTCAGCCATTCCTCATCCTGCGGTGCCTCTGGGGAATGATGTGTGAGCATCTCAAAGTCTCCATCACTAGCCATGCTAGCTGTGTGAGCCACGGTGGCTCCTGAAAAGCCCACAAGTCCCAGGAGTGGTTAGGATATGAAGGGAACAGAATTCAAAACCACCACAATTGTTTTCTTTAGTGTGTGTATTCACTGTCAAATTATGGACTTAATTATGACATCCTCATGCGTGTGTCATACACTTTGAGTATATTCGTGACCCTCACCTTCCATCCCCTCCCCGTCCTGCTGCTCCCCTTCCCTAATGCTCTCCACCGTGAGCTGTTTCAGTCTGCAGACGACCATGGTAGCAGAGACAGCATTTTATGTGTTTGGGTTCTTTTCCTGCTTACCTGCCCGTGTGGTGTGACTAGCCACACCTCCTCACTGGCACTCCTTCAGGGAGGTTTTGGATATTGTAATGAGAGCACACCTGCACTGCAACTTTGGATAAAGACCTTGGAAGGCTAGACTTGGTTTGCCTGGGGCGACTGGACAGGCTGAAGGCTGTGTACAGGAGTGTGATTTAGTTTGGAAGTATGGGGAATGTCTGTGTGTGTGTGCCATGATTAAAGCCTAGCAGAGCTAAGCCTACCTATGCTGGACCATGCAGACATAGCTGCATCTGCCCTGGCAGGGAACATGTAGCCTCAGAAAGAGTGACGGGCTCTGCTCCTGATCAAGCAACAGGATCAGGGCCACCTCTGACCCAAAAGTCTGAATCTTAGAAGACAGGCTGTCTCCACAAGGCCATGCTTCAGCCTCCCTCCCAGGCAGGACTTTCCTTCCTCCATGGCTCAAGAGAGAAACCAGATCCAGCACTACCAGTCACAGCCATGCATCTGGGCCCCTCTCAAACCTGTGCACATACAACATGGTCATCCTAGCCATGTGAAAACCCAATCCCTACACAAAATGGGTTAACATTTAGTCTGCACCTACAGCCTTAACTAAGCTAGAAGCTGAAGCAGGAGGATCATTTGAACTCATGAACTCCAGACCAGCCTGGGCAGCATCCTCAGACCTGTCTCCAAAGGGGAATGTCAAGGCAGGAGGTGTAACTGAGTTGTTAGTATGTTTACCTAGCAAGCCTGAAACCGTGGGTTCCATTGCTGCATAAACCAGGCATGCTGGCATTCAGGAGATAGAGGCAGAAGAATCAAAGTCATCGTCCTCAACTACATAGCAAGTTCAAGACCAGCCTGGGATACGTGAGACCCTATCAAACAAACAAAAACAGCAAAAGGAAAACGAGCAAAGAACCCCTAAGTGCCATCATGTCCAAGTAGTTGACCACAGACCAGGGACTCGCTGTGCGCCCAGCCTGCCCTCTTGACCCAGGATTCAGAGGAAGGGCAAAGCTCTAACTGCAAACAGTTGTCTCTGTGAGGGGAAAAAAGCCTCTGCCATCTCTGCAGGCACAGAGTGTGACATTCACATGGCCCTGCCCTGCTCTGCCTGGATGAATGAGCCTCTGTATTGCCGTGGGTGTGGGAGGAAAAATAAGGGCACACCCACAGCTGGCCGGCTTCTGGCAGCTCCAGCTGTGACCTTCACCTTGACTAGGGCAGAGCAACTTTACCCAGCTGTCAGTTTGCTGTGCCCATCTGAATCCAGGTGGAGTGTGTGGCTAGCAGCCAGAGGGTATACACGATGAGAGAGCCAGGGCAAAGGAAGTGAACTGCACCCTGAACCTCCATACGGGAAAGGCTCCCACTCTGACCACAGCTCCACTGGCCAGATGCTGTCCCTTTCCTGCCAGGACCCTCTATGGGGGTCCTACCAACCCCTAGAGGCAAGTGTGCCAGTTTGCCTTAAATGAAACCTCCTTGGGGGTTAAGCTTGGAGAGGTGTCAAGGGTTGCAGTGAGGTTAGCTTTGCCCTCTAAACAGTGACTCATCTGGGAGCAAAGGCTGCAAGAGAACCAGAGCCCCAAGAAGCCTGTGTCCAACTGTGAGTGTCTCCACTTGTCCCTTCCCAGGTGGCCTGCATCTCTCCAACTTGGGGAGGGAGGGGACATTTTTGGCACTCAGGTACATTTACTGCTCTGTCCTGAAGTGGTGGGTAAGAGGTCAGTTGGTGTCACTCCTACTTGGGTACAGAGAGAGGTCATCTTTTGCCCTGAGGACTCTGGTTGGCTCTGGGGTTCTGTCTGCACATCTATGCTCAAAAGCAATCAGCCCTAACCCTTTGCGCTGGTGCTGGGCACCTCCTGCTCAGATTGCTCAAAATCTAGTTAAGAAGAAAGTGCCCACGTGGAAGAAGGAAGGCCTGCCTTGGAGGAGACAGAAAGGGACTGATGTTCACGAGTAGTAGGCATCGCCTCTGCCTCTCTGAGTTCTTTGCACGTTTTCCGTGGCTCTGAGTCTTCAATGAGATCCTTCAGCTCCGTGGTTCTCAATCTTCCTAATGCTGTGACCCTTTGATACGGTTCCTTATTTTGTTGCTACTTCCTAACTGTAAGTTTGCTACTGTTACGAATCATTGTATACATATCTGCTATGCTGAATACCTAATATACATCCCACAGGTTGAGAAGCACTGCTTTAGCTGAGAACTGGTTTCCATCTGTCCTTGCAGAGACCGAATCTACAGGCATCTGCTTTCATTTGCCCTCTTGACCCCTCAGCTCGTCCAGGCTGGGAGAGATGTCTCCCACAGTCCCCTCCCCTACCTGTGTGGACCGCTAGGCTCTCCCTTCAGCCCGCTAGGCTCTCCCTTCAGCCTGTCTCTGCTCATTATCGAGTTATCAGAGTGCATCTTCAGTTTCTAGTTCGCCGCCACCCTCTCCTGCTCTGCCGGCCTGTGGGCTCACCCCTAAAAGCTCCTTGTTTCCCTGTATTGCCTTTGCCAGCCAGAGATTCCCTGCCCCCTTCTAAGTCTTTAGCAACCTATGAAGTTTACACTCTGACTCATCATAAAGCAATCTTTTCATTCAACTTGGGAGCACCAAATCATAGTGGCCAAAGGGAGCCGAATAGGACAGGACCTTTGCAAGTTGCAGGGGATAGAAACACATCTCAAATTAGCTTAAGGGAAAAAAATATACATACATACATACATACATAGACATGCATATGCATACACACACACACAAGCATACACACCTGGGACCTCCTAGGATCCAGTTTCGGGTATGACTGAATCCAGAGACTCAAGCCCCATCATTAAGACCCTTTTCCACAACCCTAAATATATGGTTGTGCTCCTAGGCAAGATGAGTCACATGGTGAGAAGGGTGTTATTGACCTCCCGAGGCCAATACACAGTGGCACATCATTGAAAAGGAGACAGACTTCCACCCAGTGTCTGTTTAGCTCCTCTCCTGATGAGGCTTTGATGGCTACTGATGATCATGCTAACCCCTGAACATTGACCTATGCAAACTGTCACGTACAGAAATAATGTTGGGGCCAGGAACAGGGGCGCCGTGGAGTTGGAGCAACCTGGCGCTTTGTCCTTCTTTTCCTGTTGCAGGAATAAAGGCTCTACTAGAGCGACTTAAGAAGAAAAGAGTTGGGGGGTTGAAGAAAAGAGTTGGGGGGTTGTTTTGGTTTGTTTTATTTTCTTTTTGACAGCGAAGGGAGAGGTCACAGTTAAAGGGTATTATAGCAATATTTTGTTTGTGATCTGAACAAGTAAAGCTTGCCTAAAGGTCAGAGTGCAGAGTCAAGCCACTAGTTAGCCTTAGAAGCCAGGCAGTGGTGGCACATGCCTTTAGTCCCAGCTCTAGGGAGGTGGAGACAGGAGTGATATGGCTGGGCAGAGAGGGGAATATAAAGCGGGAGGATACAGGAGCTCATTGCAGTCAGGATTCAGTCTGAGCATGCAGTTTGAGGTTTCGTAGAGACAGCAGCAGTCTGAAAATTTGTAGAGACAGGATCACCCCTATGGTCTGAGCACTGGTAGAGGTAAGAACTCTCTAGTGGTTGACTGTTCTGCTTCCCTGATCTTCAGCATTAACCCCTATATCTGAATCTGGGTTTTAATTATTGAGAACAATTAAATTCTTGCTACAGGGTATAATCAATCATGGTTGTAATGATCTGTCCTGTCCCTTTAAGAGACAAGCCATGCCCTCTCCCTCCCCATCCACCATCGAGGCAGCAGATCTTCTTTCCTACTTGCAGCCCAAGCCCCTTTCCTTTCCAGCTCTCTCCCAAAGAGGTAGCTGCTACCATGGTTCCTCTTCTTCCCCACCCCTCTGTTTTTCTCTCTCTCTCTTTCTCTCTCTCTCTCTCTCTCTCTCCCTCCCTCCCTCCCTCCCCTTCTCCCCTTCCCTCTTTCCCATTTCCCTCCATAACCCACTAAATAAATATCCAACCTCACTCTGCATGGTGTGCCTATCAGTCTGTCTCTCACCCGTGGCTGCGGCTCCTCATGGAACTATCTGCCCCACCGAGGTCTCTCACCTGCTGCGTGGCTCCCTGCCTGGGATCCGCTGCCCCTT